CTACTTAGGAAGCGTTTCATTGATTAAGTAGCATGCTAGGTGTCCTGGGCAGTGCAAAGAAAGACTAAAACTCTGTTCTCGATGCCCAGAAAACGTCCTGTTTAGAAACGAGGCCGAGGCGTACCCTCGGATAACTGCGGTGCGTGACACTGAATGAAAAGGACAATTAATCAGTCTTCACAAGTGGGAGACTCGTAATATTGTAAAGCAGTGCTCTCCGAACTATTTTGTGGGAGGTGTGGAATGTGTCCCTCACAAAATAAATAATCCCTTCATAAGAATAAACTGTATCTTCCATTTCACGGTCCGCTGTGCACGTTCTTACGTTAAAGGCTCCGAACTCGCGTCAGAGGGATTTGTGTGCGATTTGGAGCAGAGCAGTTGGGACGCATTCCTGCTTTTTTGCACCATTTCAAAGTTGCGGGTTTTTTCCTTCATGTCAGCGGCAGAGGGAGAGAAAAGAGAGATGGGGACAGGAGCAGTCGGGGGGGGTGTCACTGTGAAGACGTGTGTTTAACTGGTGTTTCCCGTTGTCTTCGGGGTCACTGGCCCACAGAACCCTTTTTTAAAAATTGCACCTAGCAACATACGAAGGGTGCCTGTGCTCCCGGGGAAGGGAGAGGGTGGAGGGTAGTTTGGGGTTTAGCTGAAGAAGGATTATAAATCCTCTGTGTGGGGGGAGGTTTTGTGACCTGACAGCGACCTCTAGTTCGTGGAACAGAACCCTCAGGCTGCTCCCTTCCACAGCCCGAACCAGCTCTTAGGTCTCGTCGGCCTTGGATTGCAGTGATAGGCCTGACTTTTGTTCTGCTGATCGACAAGTCCAAGTGCATCTCCCAGGCCAATGCATCCATTTCATTAGTCCCTGAGAAGGAACTGTCTCTTCTCCTTGTGACCATCACCCCCTTTATGAGTCTATCATTACTCTATCTGCACCCACTCTTTTACTGATGTCTTCAGCTTCTCTCTTTCCATTCTCCCTCTTTCAGAAAAAGCCCACAAGTAGCCCGGTCCCTTCTGCAAGCTCCCACCCTGCTTTCCGTTCAGCAAAAATGCCTGGAGTCTTTCTACCCCCATCACTCCCCGCAGCTCCCCACCCCGGCCCCTGTTCTTTGGGCCAGGCGCTGCTCCGAGTCAGCCATGATGCTCGTTGGTTGGTTTCTTTTTCTCGATTCCTGTCATGATTTAAATGCCTTATCATCGGACATGTTTTCCAGGCTCCAGACTGCTTTGATGTCTCCTGTTCTATTTAAACCCCTGTATCTTCTCTTTATCTGGGGAGCTGGAGCTTCCCTCCCCCACAGGCCTCCGGCTGCGAGGCGGTGAATATGTTTGCGGTTCCCCGTATCCCTGCCCCCTCGAAACGCGTGCCCACCCCTTGGCTCACTTTGTGTCCTGTCGTTTACCTCTCATGGTTACTGAGTCTGTTGCCCACATACACGTTCTGCTGGGGCGAATCTATTCCATGTGCCCCAAATTACACACATAGCTGGGACTGAAACTATTTGCATTGAATTGGGGTTCACCAATAGTCAGCAAAGCAGCATGTATGTTCATTTTGTCTATGACCATTTTCCCATCATAAAATTAATGAACAGGCCGTTTTCCGGGGAAGACAGCAGCCGTCCTGTGTCTGGTCCCTGAAGTCTGTATCAGCCGGGGACCCACAGTAAATGCCATCTCCCTGAGACTCGGGTTTCCACTGCCCTCTCTTCTCATTTCCCACACCACTTTGTGTCTCTCTTTTGCTGCTTATCATTCTTCCCCTCCTAGCTCAGTTTCCTAGTTGCTTATGTGAAATGTTACAGTCACGCTGTAAGAATGCATGAAGGTCAACTGTGAGCAAAGCAAAACAGTGGGAAGAGATAAGAGAATACCAAACGCGGTGGCCTAGTCCACGCTCTTTGCCCCTGCGTTTTGCCCCTTGGTCCTGACCATGCATTTGGAATGGGAAAGCACACAGAATGGTTGGAAGAATGTGGTGCCCACGGGGGCAGGACAGGCAAGTCTGCTCGGAGCTCCAACAGGAGGAAGCTGGGCCGGGACTGCACTGCCGACCAAGGGGGGAGCATCCCGCAGAGGAAGTGCAATGAGAACCGTACAGTCGGGTGGAACTCCGCTTAGTTGGAGGGAGTAGGAAGGGCACCTGGTGCAGAGAGAGCGCCCGCCGGGAGACCCAAAGGCCAGCGAGGACGGAGACGGCGAGGCAGACCAATAGTGACCGAGGCCGGGGAAGAAAGCTGAATTTTAACCAACAGGCCTGCCATTGCAAGGGATAGCTTGAGGTGTGACCCGTTTTCTATTTGAATTAGAATGAAAGTTCTCTTTGGAAATGTACTTCAGAGTCATTGGTGTAGACAGTGAGGAGGTATTAGCATTTTTTCTAATGAAGAAGGCACGTGATGAAGGAATTTCAGGACAGTTAATCTAAGTAGAAGGATCTGAGGAGAGTGGAGAGGGAGGGCGAGGGCAAGCTCAGCGGAGGAGAGACCAGCCGCTGCCAGGGTCCAGGGTCAAGGCCGTGACACCTGGCCTGGACCGACAGAGAAACACACGGTGGAGCCAGAAGCTGGAAGCAAACCCTGAAAGAGGGAACCCAGTGATGGGGATTTAACACGGAAGTGCTTCCACAAGAAAATAGGAAGGAGCACGGGGCAGCCGAACAGGGTAGCACCAGAGAACAAAGACGGCGTGGCTGCAGGTGAGGTCCAGGTGCAGCCCGATCTGGAAGGGGCGCCGGCATTGCCCAGGGGGCAGGGCCGGGCCAGGGAGGGCGAACAAACTTCGGGCGCTTCTGTCTCCGGGAACCTTTGGGGCAAAGCAGCTCTCGCGGGGTCTCAGGGGGAGCCGTCAGAAGCCAAGTCTGAAGACAGGGCGAGGGAATGGGCAGGCCATAGTAAAGGCTCTGACACCTTTGTGCTTACGGAGAAGAAGCTGATGGGACCGAGATTGAAGTTACACGGACGGGTAGGGGAGTGGGCAGACAGACAGCGGAGAAGTGAAGCCCTGGCCGCCGACTCACCCAGGTGTTCAACGCTTTTTGCTGTTCCTGGTGTGGAGATGAGTCTGTAAGATATAGCAAGTTCCAGTGGAAACCGTATGGTACAAAACAGCCTTGTGGAGTTGGCGTGATTTCCACCTTGTCTCATGTGACCTCCTCCCGTGTGTAAGCCCGACACTCTCTCTCTCCCGAGTGGGAAACAGCTTATTACGGCATTTGATTGAACTCAGTGTACAAGAGCAAGGTACATTCCTTAGGAAAAAGTAGTTGGACTTTTGGGCGGTGCCGGGCTTGAGGTTCACGGGCTGAACTTGGAAGTGAGACCATCCTACAGGTGGTAGGGGGTTTCTCTAGAACATTGGGTCCCAGGAGCACAGTGAAGGAGATAATTCAGACTGAGCCACAGTTGGAAGTCAGCCAAGTGAGTTAATGGAGGGAAAACAAGGTTAAAAGAGTTAAACATTTGCAAGTGAGTGATTATGGTGATGGGCCGTGGCATCTAGGCTGGGTACGAAAAAATGGCAGGATCTAAAATACATGGAAATTTTGCTGTGGTCAAGGAGCGAATGAGTTATATGAGGTGAATAGCTGAAGTCCACGGTCAGAGGGAAGATCACTTGAAATCGAGATTGAGGTGTTACAGTGTTTCCAGATGACAAGGTCGATGATACGACCTTGGGAGTGGACAACACAGGTGCGCTAGAGGAAAAGATCAGGGAGGCTCAGGACGTCAACGAAACGAGAGACTAGGGCGTTCCGCAGACTCACTCGAGCAGTAGGACGACCAAGAGGAATGACGAGAGGGGCATTTCTCAGAGGTCTGCACCCTCCTGCTTGATTAAATAAAAACCAAAGGAAATAGAAACAAAGCCAGCTCTGTGCAGTGTCCCGAATGGATGAGCCATTAACTTCCACGGTGGCATTCCTCTACCTTGGAGCCCAGACCAGGCATAATGGTTATCCCAGTAGCAAAATCATCCCACTTGCGTTTATACTGAACGTTTACGTACACAAAGACAGCATCTAGCCTGCAGGAGTCCCCTTAGTAATTCCAGCTGACTGCCTCACTCAGCCTTTAAAGAAGGGCATGACAAAGGAGTAAGAAAAATAGGCGTCTCTGGGGTGGGGAGGGGACTATGGACCAGGGGAAATCGAACCTGGGGGCGTGTTACTTTCTTTATCCTCTGACCCTGTGGGGACTCGGCCAGTATGATCTGATCTGTGGGAAAGAGGGGAAGAAGGAAGGAGGCGGTGGGAGGGGCGGACAGAACGAGGAAAGGGGGTGGACGAAGGGCTGATCTGAGAGATGCCTCGGCCGAGCCATGCGCAGCCTGCAGCGGGCGCATGTTCTTGCCGTGTAACCCTGCTTGCAGGCCCGGCTTCTCCAGCTCCGCTCGGCCCGTGTTGCCCGGTCTGGGCTCACGGACCATCTTTCTGCTCTTGGGCACACCTCCCTCTTCCCGGTCTCAGCTTCTTCCCGTCCACAGCCCCCTCCGAGGGTCTCACCCTGCCTCTCAGCCACCATCCAGGGCAGGCCTCCTAGCACCAACAAGGTCTCCCCTGGAATATCACTTCTGCCAGCCCTTCCCGGAGCCCCTGTTTTAAATTCGGGCCCTCGGTTGTACTTGGGGGTAACAGCTTTTCTGTGGATTTGAGGGGTCCTGTGTTGGATCCCTGTCTCCCGGGTTGGAAACACCATGAGAGTGAATGCAGAGACTGTCAGGGTGTCCTGCCCCCCCACAGTCTGCATGAAAGTGGCTGAAGGGGTGAACCAGCCCTTTGAGGGGGTTTAGCAACAACACGTGTTTTTGTCCTTTGGGCCGTGAGTGTGTCCACAAACAGCACATTATTGCTGTCGAACTAGCAGGATTTGTGCTCTCGTGGACTTTTAAACTCATCCGAGAGACTCAGATCGCCTCCCATCTGCACGTTGAAGCCGATCAAAATTGGAACTGGGCGTATGGCTAGATGGGTAACTCACAGTGGCTTGGTGTTTCAGGTTGGAATTGTGCAGTATGGAGAGAACGTCACCCACGAGTTCAACCTCAGCACCTACGCGTCGACGGAGGAAGTGCTGGTCGCTGCCAACAAAATAGTCCAGAGAGGCGGCCGCCAGACGAAAACAGCCCTTGGAATAGACACGGCCAGGTACGCGTTCGAAAGCCACCCAAAGTCTGCACAAAAACAGCTGCTCACGATGTGCCCTCTGTCGCGTGGATGGCGCATTTACCTTGGGAACGTTTAAGGCCGTCTTGTGTAAAGCCAGGTTCGGCCAATTAGCTGGCAGCTGAAGAAACAAGTTTTTTTGTCATAGTCTCAACATCCCTCGTATCTTTCCTGTAATTCCATGGGTTTATTTGATGAAAAAATGATAAAAAAAAATCATGGTGTTCTACTGCATCATGTTCTTGGGTATGAAGACATAATATGAATGACTATCTTTTCCCTTCATTCTTTGTTTTCAGCTTCTAAGATTTTTAATCTTAAAAAAAATGGTTAGTCCACAGCTACTCAATATATACTTATATTTTAGTATGTCTGTAATTTTACCATACCTGATTTGGGGTTATGGAGGATCTCAAACAAGAGGTCTCAAAATGCTGACTTCCAAATTGCCTTGTTGGAAATCATTCTTGGTGTGAAGATGAAAAGAAGTGGCAAGGATTTCATTTGCGATGCTCACACAAGATCCTTCTGACCCTCTGCAGGTTCCCTCTGTCCCCTGCTCCCTCCCTCCCTTTTGCAGTCCCCTCCCCACAGGGCTCATGGCCAACCGTGGTTGGAGGTCCTTCCCTTGTGATGCGGAGCCTCTTTTCCATGTTTTTTCTGATTCCATTTAACTCTTACCTCTCACTGTGAACCGCCTTCATCCCTACTGGAGCCAGTCCGCTTCTGAACGAAAACTAGACAATATCCTAATCACGGCTAGCCTCGTAAGCAGTCCTGCATGTTAAGGGCATGTGTGTAAAGTGGCTCAGCACCTGGAAGCTCTCCAGAGCTGGTCACCTGTGTGCGCCCTTCACCCGCCTCACCAGACCAGTGTTTTAATCAGGTAACATGTCAGGAAACATAGAAGTATCTAAAATTACAAAGAAGGATTGGATATTCAAATATTTTTAATTTCACATGCAGCTTCAGATTCATAAATGTTAGCAAAGCATGTGGATCGAGTTATACGGGGCCCAAGAGAAAGTAACTGCAAACAGATGGGGGATTTGCACTTACCTGCCCATCGGATCACTGGTTTGCACGCGTGCCTCAGTGTACTGAACACGCCCCTCCCGTTCCTGACTCCGTGTGACCGCACAGGCAGACTCGATCAAAGTGCCCTTTGAAAACTCTGAGCCTGTGGGGAGCTGTGCCTTTTCCGGAGGCAACCACCAAAGCATGAATATTCATCTTTGAGATGGACTGACGGGGCATCCGGCTGCCTTCGCTCCTGCGTAAACACCACTCCACACACTAGTCCCCGTGTGGTTTTGCCCATGCGTCTCACTGAGGGTCCCGCGGTGGGACTCAGGGGTTGTTGACCTTTGTGTGAGATTACAGTGTGGTGTGGTACAACCGCACAATCTTCTTGCACATTAGCTTTTCATGTGTAAGCATATTTTTAATGACTCTTTTTTGCTTTCAGGTAGAGCTGGTGTCAAAAACTATTTTTACTTTTTTAGAAACCTTTACTTCCCTCTTCATTGTCTCCCAGTTCAAAATATTTTTGTGTCTCTGGATCCCTACCCCAAATATTCTTTCTTTTCAAGAGGGTCACATGTTCAAGCATAAGAACTCGATTCTCTTATCCTAAAGAAAAGGGTTCTCCTGGGATTTTTCTCCTGTTTCAAAGCCTGAAGGGAGGTCCCTGTTTAATGGAAAGAAAGGTCACTGGATGGTGGTCTTTGGGGGTCAAAGGCAATTTTCCAAAGACAATTGGAACAGAAAGGGCAGACGCGGGGGTCAGCCAGTGGCTACCACCGCATCACAGAGAGCCTGCGCCGGGGAGATGCTCCCGGGGGCGGGCCTTTTACCAAGGGCGGGCCTTGAAACCCCCGCCGCGGAGGTTTCAAGGGAACCAGGAGGTTTCAGGGATTCTCTAGGGAACTCAAACTGTAAAGGAGACTGAATTTCATGGCCTTCATATTGAACTTCGTTTAAATACTAGCCTTTAGCCTGTCTCCTCCTTCACTTCTGTGCGTAAAGAAGCCAGAAAGTGGGGGCAGCACAGGAGGCGGAGCCACACGGTTCCCCGTGATCAATATTTTCCTCATATTTTTTTCCTCTTGAAAATGTTAGGAAAAAATGTAAAATGTAAAAAAGTTACAGCAAAATATGTACGCATCAAACAGAACCAAGACGGACGTTACTAGCTGGTCACGCTTTAAGCCCCTCGAAGGGGAAGGTTGTCACAGATGAAATCCCTCCGCTCGCCTCGCCGGGCTCCTTCCCCCTGCTCAGGACAGACGGCTCCTGTGCCCGTGCTGGGCGTCCGCGGGGAAACCGCGTGTCCGCGGGGACACTGCGCAGTGCACACTGTCTGCAGGGTAATTCGGGAGCGATGTTTCTTCGGCATCACCCGCACCGCAGCTGTTCTTCCTCCCGGCCGAGTGCAATGTTTAAATGAACCGTTCAGTACAAGGATGGCTGCATTTTATGCCAAAATAGGCAAAATATTATATAAAATCCTTATATTATTCCAGTCCTAAGTAAAATACACTCTTTTCTTCCAAGACCACAGAGAGAAAAATGAGCTGAATAAAATAAAGTAATTGAGAGAGAGAGTGTGTGTGTGCGGGAGTGTGGGGTGCAGAGGTGGGAAAGTGTGTGTGCGAGAGTGTGCAAGTGCAGAAGGCGGGAAAGTGTGTGTGTGAGAGTGTGGGGTGCAGAAGACAGGAAACGGAAATTGTCAGCGAGGGCATCTGCCTGTCCCCCGCCGCCTCTGTCCACCTGCCCCAGGAGCCTGAGTCCCGAAACCCGGGCCAGACCTCCGCCGCTCCTCCAGCAGACCTGGGCCCTCCAGCCCTCTCCGGCCACCAGGTCCGGCCACCTCTGTCTGCAGTCCTTAGTCCTCTCCCTGCCTCCATCCTCCTGTCCCCAAGAGCACCTTCCAGCACGCGCAGCCGCACCAACATTCTAGTATCTCCCATCTCACCCCCCCGCTCAGCACGTCTCCAAGCTGCTCTCTGCTGGTCCGAGCGGGGGTGTCAGGGGAGGACAGAAGCCGAAGCTGTGGCTCGAAGCAGCAGGAAGAGGCCTGTTGGGAAGAGAAGGAGGGTTTAAAGAGCAAGGCGGGGAGAGCCAGTGAGATCCGACCTCCTCTAGACCTGCTGTCTGCTCCCGTCACACCTCCCTTTGAAGGGTCCAAGGAGTGAAGCCCTTGTACCTGGGACAGATGGTGATTAGCAAATGGGGAGCTCCCCATCTTCTGGAGTTGCCCTAAAACTAGGGCAAGTAGTGGTCATTGTGCCCCCCGGCCTGGACAGTGGGCATCAGTGTTGACCTTGGGGCGAGAGCCCAGGCTCCCTGGGTTTATGTTCCCGTTCTGCTCCTCCCCCTGCCTCACCTTGGGGGGGGGATGTTTTATCTGCTTCCCTTTTGTCTGTTTCAGGAAAGAGGCTTTCACGGAGGCCCGGGGCGCCCGGAGAGGGGTTAAAAAGGTCATGGTCATTGTGACCGATGGCGAGTCTCATGACAACCACCGACTGAGCCAGGTCATCCAGGACTGCGAGGACGACGGCATCCAGCGGTTCTCCATAGCTGTGAGTACCGGCCCCGACGCTCTCTGACTCCGGGTGTGACAGCGGCGCTGGCTGCGTGTCAGGGGTGTGGGACAGAAGCCACAGGAACGAGGTCGGGAGGAGGCACTTCTCCCCCAGGGGGGAGCTCTGCAGAGGCAGGGTCCGGTCTGGTCCCTCTGTGTCCTCTGTGCCCAGTGCCAGACCAGGGAGTCGACACACAGCACTGAAGCCAAGGAAGGAAGAACGTGAGGAAGGATGGAAGGAGGACAGACACAGGGATGGGAAAGGCGGGGAGGGGAGGAGAGAGGGAGGGAGGGAGAAGGGAGGGGGAATGGAAAGGAAGATGCGCCAGGTGATAAATAAACATTGCCCGCTAATTAATAATTCTTCCCATAATTTGGGAGGGTGGAAAATCAGGGCACGCCCCTTACAATAATCTCTAAATGTCAAGGATGATATTTCCACACCTACAGCATTTTGAGTTGCAGGAAAGAAGCATCGGGTCGCCTAAGTTGTTGTCCACCCCGGACAGTCTACCCCGAAATGTAGGAGAAGTCCCTGCTATGGGAGGGCTTTCTTGGGGGCCCCACAGTTTGTGGGGGCCCCTCTGCACAGGCCACCTCCAGGTGTGACTGCAGGGTGGGGAGGAGTCTGGAGATGCTGGTGGTGGCTTGTGCCCTCTGTGCAGGGCCCAGTCCACTCCGCTCCACGTCCCCCGCCGTGCAGCCCCAGCGAAGCAAAGACGTGTTTTCTCTGTAATGACACGTAAGCTGGACAAGAAGGGCAGAGGGACCAGAGAAGACAGTTTCTCTGGTTCCGAGGGAGCACCCCACCTGCTAGTGATGACGGAGAGAACACCCGCGTGCTCTCTGGGAACACACCCGCACCAACAAACACACCTGCACCAGCACAGGGCAACCCGTTCTTGATGGGTGGTATTTGCCTCCAAAGACACAAGTGCAGAGAGAGAGGCTGTCTGAATACATCATACCTCTTATTAGTGACTTTTTTCTCAATCAACCTCTATTAGTTCCGTGAAATCATTTGATTTCACTTTCTGGTGTCACCCCATGGTGAGGCACACTCAGAAAAGAGACCTTTCAGACGTGGGAAATAAGGCAGTTACTGCTCACCTGACACTCTGTGCCTAACAATGGTTCCTTCATGTCTGTTTCCGGCTTACCTCTTTCCCTGTCCCTCACCAGGTTTAACTTTCATTCCCCCCTTTTATGAACAAGGAGAGCAAGGGGCCACAGCCCCCAGAGCCGTAGACCACACGGCCAAGTCTCCCGACTCCCCCAACCAGACCCACCTCACTGACTGTGAGACCCATGCCTCCAGCCCCAGGCCCCGTGACCCCGGCTTCTCTTTGCTGCTGCCCAGATCTCTGGGAGGTGCTGGGACAGTGCTCACCTGTCCCCACTCCCAAAGAGCCCACGGTCTCTGCACCTCACCCCAGTTTCTACCACATCTACCGAGCTGCCCACTCAGGAGCCCAACACAGGTGGCAACCTGTGCCATCACCATTAACAACCAAGGGAGCCCCGCTCCAGGCCTCGGACACCAACAGGGACTTCCCCGTGGCCCTGGAGCTGCTAAAGGAACACAGAGGCGAAGTCAGGGAGTAAGCACCCTTCTGGGGCAAAGCTGCCCCCAGGAGACGCAGGTGTGCCCCCTTCGCCAGCCCCCAGGGGCCTGTGTGAGCGGACTCTGCAGCAGACTCACGGCATTTTCCAGAAGTGATGACGCTGAGCAGGAGAAGGGTGGGGGAGGGCAGAGGACACTGTGCTTTGGAGTCAGAAAGCCCTTGGTTTTTTTTCTGCCTTTGCCATGTCCTGGCTCCAGGACCGTGGATAAGTTACTTCATGCCCTGAGCTTCAGCTTCTTTATCTGTCAAATAGGGTCCTATGGTCTCTCCTCCTCTGTCTCGGGCAAAGAATCAGAGAGATAATGACTGTGAAAGCACCCGGCACAGTGGCAGCCCAGTCAGCATTTTTGTCTTAGGATCTTTATCTCAAGGAGGTTGCAAGCGTGAAATAATCAGATCAGTGTTTTGGAGCTGGCAGGGATCTCAGAGGTAGATCGTGTTACCTCCTCGCTCAGAAACCATCAGAGATGCGCCCCCCCCCAGATGACAAACCCACTCTCAGAGACAGGACCTTAACGACTGCATCCGACCCGAATTTCCAACCCTCCACTGGGCTGTACACAGGGACGACTTTTCACTGCACCATTTGCTTTTTCACTCAGAGAATAAGATAGAATAAAACGAATCAGTTTCTCTTTACCCTCGTTTTACTTCTGTGAATTATCTTTTGACACTTACTGTTCATTATTACCTCTCCGTTACTGTAACTATTTTAGCGTCGTCCACGGTTGAGAACAATTCCGTACGGCCCGGCCTTCACTCGGGGATACCACTCACGAGTAGGGGCTACTGCTGGTCTCCTCAGTGGGCACAGCCAGGGGTGCCCACCCTGTCCCCGACAGCTGGGTCCCAAAGGTGCTATGGTTCGTTCAGCTGCCCCCAGAGGGCAGAGTCTAGCACCCCAGGCGTCACAGCCAGGCCGTGAACCGAGTTAACCATCCGCGGCATCCACACATTAGAGAGACCTCAGTGGGAAGAAAGCAGCTATCCGTGGACGCCCTTAATTGTAAGGGCGTCTTCTCTCACCTCTGTTTACATGGTGTCTGGCCACACGCTCAGCACTTCTTGCTGTTACATCACTGTGCTTCTCTTTGTTGGGCCCCTAGTTCACTCTTCATACTTTGCCTCGCATCTGGTCACCAAGAGGTCCCATAATTGCATTAATCTTCCTGGAGGACCATGAAATCATGAGTTCCTTTCCCATTTGAATCAATGAATTATGGATTATCCAACTGCTCTTCAAAATGGTATAAATAAAAACATGTAAGAAAATTTCATGCTAGCAATAATTGTTACTTTCCCAACTCATGCGTCTTTTCCCCAGTGAGTCCTGTGTGCTTCAGCTTGTGCCCAGCCAGGCAGTGGGACCGTGATTTTGCTCCCTGCCTCGTACATCCGCACGGAAGGTTTGACGTGTTTCTCGAGGCCCCTGCGTGCTGCTCGGGAGCCAGTCTGCCTCTGGGCTGGCCGGTTATCGGCTGGAACGTTGTGGAGAGAGGAGGACTGGCTACAAAGGAGAAGAGGGAACTTCGGGGTGATGGGCACATTCTGCTCCCCGATGTGGTGGGGCCACACATCCTGGGTTCGCCAAGACTCCAAATCAGACATCGACCAAGGGTGCATTATACCGTATATAAATTACATCTCAGTATACCGTACTTCAGAAAATAAACTGCGTGTTTGAGGAAACCTTCTAGGTTATCTAAATAATTGCAGTTAGCTGTAACAGATCACTCCCGCCTCCCTTCTCTATGAAAACAAATGTCTCTCTCTGTAGCGCTTGGCTTCAAACAGGAAGTCTCAATTGCTGTTTTCCAGATCGCCAAGTTAGATTACTTCTGAGTCTGATATCTGCTTAAAATATACATGTATTAGACCGCCCCTTGGTAAGATGTTCAGGAAGAACTGCCAGTTCAAGGTCAAGCAACTCACTTGCTAATTGCTTTGCCAGCAAACAGTGATGTCACTGGCTAGCATAATGCGACATTCCGAGACATTCAGAAATTATGCTGTTACTTTTAAACTGTCAGGTCTTAGAGATGCAGCTGTTAGTCCACAAGTACACAGGAATACAAAAGAGGAGACTCTCACGAACATACAGGGTTGCCCTTAAAGTCTCCTACACCAACTATAGTTTGTTACAGTTACTATTAAAGAATCTATGTATTCTGGTAATTATCCCTCCAAGAATATGGAAGTACATCAAAATCGCATTATGCTAAGATACCAAACCACCTCTTGTTCACTGGCAAGATGCTTGAGACCCTTGTTTAATGCACAGAATTTAAAATCTATCCTTGCCATTTCTGTTGCCTCCTAGATCCTTGGCAGCTACAGCCGAGGAAATTTAAGCACCGAAGCCTTTGTGGAGGAAATCAAGTCGATCGCGAGCGAGCCCACTGAAAAGCACTTCTTCAACGTCTCTGACGAGCTGGCCCTCGTCAGCATCGTGGAGGCTCTGGGGGAGAGAATATTTGCCCTGGAAGGTACGACAGTGTCTCTCGTTCTGCTCGTCCTATCTGCCACCCAAACGCATGGTGACGAGTGTTTGACGTCAATTCCCACCACGTGGCTAATGTGTATTTCCCGTGTTCAGTAGCCAGCACGGAACGGTGTCTGTGACTGTCGTTGAGATAGGTGGCAGTCCCACCCAGAGTGGTGTCTGCCAGGAGCTGTGTTTGTAAGGGACAGACAGGGCTGACCTGACAGCCGTTGGAGATGGTGGTCAGGGAGACACACAGGAACAAAAAGTGCCTGTGTGGCTAGAAAATGGAGACGCTTGTTCAGGTTTCGTCGTTGTCACTGTTTCATTCGGGGCGTCTGTGGGACAGCTCTTGTGCAGTAACCTCTGGGTCCATTTCTTTTCTCCTGCGTGCTCCTTGCCCCTTTGCAAGGTCTTCCCCGAGCGCTGCCTCCAGCCCGGGGCTGTGAGGCGCCGGTTCCCTGCATTCATCCAAGTCCTGTTACTTCTTCATAGACTTGGTCCCTGGTGACTGGCCATCCAGGAGGATGACTCAGGGCCCTGGGGACACGGTGGCAAGTGACTAGGGAACTGTGGAACTAGGTCCTTCCCTACAGAAGAGACGTTTTCACAGCCGTGTGTCAGGCAAACTGGAAAAGTCTCCTTTACCCTTCACGTTCTCTGATAATCTGGACACTCAGTGGGCGAGCCTTCTTTCCCACCGGGTGACCCACCAGCGCAAGCTGCCCCGAGGCTGCACCAGACCCAGTTGTGTCTGTCCTTGTGAGGACACACGGAAGGACTGTGGTTTTCGTATCTTGAACACGGACATCTGGAAGCACCCTCTTGTAACCCTGCTGAGCGCTGGAAATGGGAAACATGGAGACAAAGTGGGATGGGCGTGACTGAGAAAACAAGGACCGTGCTGAGCCCCAGGTGAGGAGGGAAAGGCAGGAGGTGACTGACAGAGAGTTCAAATGTACAGAGAGGGAAGGAAACAGCTCAGAGCAGTGGCCCTCAAACTTTTTTTGACACGGGCCCATGATAATAGTTTGTTTTGTGACCCAATGTGCCTACATCAGCACATATAAAACAAAACCTCACAAAATAACCTTTACTGTATGCAATGCACTCTGATACTTTCCCTTCTCTTCTATCCTCTTCTCTTTCAATTAAAAAAAAATGCTGGTTGAGGCTCACCCTGTTGATTTTGTGACTGGATCACAACCAGTCTGTAGAAAGTTCCATTTAGACATGACGGAGATCTACAGACCGTTCCCAGCTACCAGCAGACCAGCAGCTCGGGAAAGTGCTGGCGTTCTCTCTCCCTCTCTCTTCTTAACTGTTGTTCAAGTACAATTATCTCCACTTTCCCCCCACCATGCACCCCCTGCCCACTCTTTTTGGCTTCGTTCATGGAACCTTTACACACGTTCCTTGATGACCCTTCCCCTGTTTTCCCCCATTATCCCCTCCCCCATCCCCTCTGGTTACTGTTAGATTATTCTTTATTTCAGTGTCTCTGGTTATATTTTGTTTGCTTGTTTGTTTTGTTAATTAGGTGAGATCATATAATATTTGTCTTTCACTACCTGGCTTATTTCACTTAGCGTAATGTTCTCCAGTTCCATCCATGCTGTCATGAAGGGTGCCTCGGCCCGCGAGGCAGTCAACGGGGTCCGCCGATATACCTGTAACGGATGAAGGGGGATGGGACAGGAGGCGCGAAGAATGGCAGCAAGACAAAGGATTCTGATCAAGCTGCAAATTTTATTTCAAAATGGAGGGAGTTATATAGAGGAGGGCAGTGGAGGAAGTGCAGTGGATAGGTGGCGCGTGCTCTAGCCTGCGATTGGCGGGGGGGTGCATGGCGGGCGCGTGATCAAGGCACTGATTGGTGTGCCACCCGCATGTCCAGGAGGGGGAGTTCTATGGCTCCTAACCGCAGCATCCTGTTATTCAGGTCGGATTGTATCAGCCTGTTTCAGGCTTATCCCAGCACCCCAACATCTCCTCCCTTATTTTTATTTTTAAGGTGAGGAGTGGACTTTAACCGGCTAGGGGAGGCAGAGGTCTGGCTCCTCCTGAGCTCGTCCCGAGCTCTGAAGCACCTTTTTCGGAGGAGAGGGTTGGGGTGCTGACCTCTATGCAAGCCGACTTGCCTTTTTATTGCTTTGAGGGCGAGGAGAATGTAGATAGGGTAGACTTTAACCAGCTGGGGGAGGCAGAGGCCTGACTCCTCCTGGGCTCATTCTGAGCTTTAGGGTACCTTTTGGGAGGAGAGGAGTTGGGTACCAACCTCTTTGCAAGTCAGCTTACCTCTCAGGAGACTCGAAGTGGCCGTATGTACAGGCCTCTCCTTGCAGTGCTTTGCCTTGCACCCAGCGGTGTCTATCACAGCTACTTGGCTGTGAAGCATACCTTCGAGGGTTATGCTGCTCCCGCAGGAGGGGAACCTGGCAGGAATCGTGGGCTAGCATCCCAGTGGCTGTACGGCTCAGAGTCCGCTCCATGTTCCAGCATTTCTAATTGTTGATAGTGCACCTGAATAGGCCTTCCTAGTACACTGTTAAGTTGGTCTTTGGCTAAGTTGGTTACACGTCTAAGAATCCAGGGGGCAAAAGAGAGGATGAGGGTGATAGAAACTAAAGGTCCTAAGAGGGGAAGCGGGTAGGGGAGAATTCCGTTAAGTCCACCCCAAAGGGTGTGTTCGGAAAGTTCTTTTCCTTTACAGATGCAGGGTTGTCCAAATAGGGCGAGGCAGGGGTTTTGGGGTGGTCCTTCTCGTCCTCCGTCTGTCTTTAGGTATGGGAGTGTTCTGAGTAGTATAATGATGTTTATTCAGTGCGTTCTGTTTCCTGTAATAGAAAGGAGAGAGAAGTCCCTCAGGGAGTATGGCTTATCCCTGGGTTTGATTAGATGCCGGAGCAGAGGCGAACATAGTCACAGAGCTCTCCTTGGCGATAGGGGCAGATGGCATTTTGGCAAGCGGGGTTGGCATTTTCATAAGCTAAGTGTTTAACGAAAGCGTTTTTACTTTCGCCCGCGCCAAAGAGCCTCTCAGCTAATTCCTGTAAACGACTTATAAAATCACTGTATGGCTCATCTGGGCCTTGTCTTATTTTTTGCAAGAGAAGTGGTTGCGGTACCTTTTTGTGGAAGGCGCCTCCATGCTTTAAGACCCGCGGACTGGATTTGGGTTAAAAGTCCGGGGGGAAATTGAGCTTGTCTCTCATTGCTTTGATAGGGGGCGGAGCCAAGAAACTTAAGGATGGTCCAATTTTTAGAGGAGGATTTTCGCATATTGCGCTGGACAAACTGTTTAGCGGTGTCTTCATATTCGCTTTTCCAAAGAATAAAGTCACCTCCGCTCAGCGCTGCCTTTGCTAGAAAGAACCAATCATTGGGCGTGAGCCAGCGCTCACTAAGATTTTCAATTAGGGCAAGGGAAAAGGGAGCTGTGGGCCCGTAGTGTGTTACAGCAGCTTTGACTTTTTCTAGTGTTTTAAGACTAAGTTTTTTATATGTGTGAAAATAAGCTTGGGGGGTCGTAGTGTCTCTTGTACTGGGCTGTGCTTCGTCTATATCAGAAGGGGAGCTGTCAGAGTCTTCGGGGTCATCACTGTCAGGAAGGGGGGTAGCTGCAGCCGCAGCTGAACTATCTACGTTCTCGGTCTTATCTGGGCGAGTCTGGGATCTAGTAACAGGGAATGCTAAGGTTTCGTGGGGAGGGGGACTGATCGTAAGAGCGGAGTTCATTGGCAATGGTTTTGATATCTCGGATGAAAGAGAGGGTTTCCTGAAGGAAAGGCTTTGGAAACGGACTGAGTGCGGCGGTGGCCGCCAGCGGCAAAGCAGTGGGTGCCTTGCATGCCGCGGGCGGAATGGCGGAAGCGCCATGCACCGGAGGCGAAATGGCGGCGGCGGGTGCGTGACAGGTACTATAAGGAGGCGGTTTGAATGGTGGAAGGACTGCCGCTACGAGCGGCGGCCAGTCGGGATTATTGTAGCGAGCGGCCTCATACTCTAACTCTGCCTGTTCAGAGGGGTCTAACTGGTCGCCGGGGTCCTGGGAATTGGGGGGGTGGAGCAGAGGAATAGAACTCCTGAAGGGGAGGGTACAGAGAAGGGACTTGAGGGTCTGCATCTATTCGGATGGAAACAGAAGGACAGTTTGAAGGCGCTCGTGAGGGAGGTCGCAAAAGTAAGTCAGCACGATCGGGAAGGCCGTGGACTGAGGGGGCTTTGGAGGGGGCCGGGGATTGATTGCGGAGAATTTCTTGCCCTTCTTTGCAAAGGCGCTGTATGTCAGGGGAATTATTGTGGTTTTTAAGGATGTCTGTTATGAGGTTATAATAGTCAAAGGCAGTTATAGGGATAGTCTCGGGGCCAAAAACCTTATAATAGTCATTTAGACAGTTGCCTACACGGCGCCAGACGCGGGAGTCAATGCTACCCTCCTGAGGAAACCATGGGCAGATTTTAAAAACGAAAGTGAAAAAGGAATTCAAATCTTTTTTACGAACTCTTATCTTGCGCGCCTTGAGAGACTCTTTTAATTGAGCGACGAATGAATCACGTTGTGAGCATGCCTGTCCCATGGCTGGGTCTTACCTTTTGAAATGCCGCTGTCGGGGAACGGGGGACGTCAGGGAATGCCGGCGCGCGGTCGAGTAGTCGCGGTGAGCCGGGCGAAACGCTGCGATCGGAGGGGACAGCGGTCCGCACAGGCGATCAGCGGGGCCCCACGTTGGGCGCCAGTTGCCTCGGCCCGCGAGGCAGTCAACGGGGTCCGCCGATATACCTGTAACGGATGAAGGGGGATGGGACAGGAGGCGCGAAGAATGGCAGCAAGACAAAGGATTCTGATCAAGCTGCAAATTTTATTTCAAAATGGAGGGAGTTATATAGAGGAGGGCAGTGGAGGAAGTGCAGTGGATAGGTGGCTTCAAAGCGTGCTCTAGCCTGCGATTGGCGGGGGGTGCATGGCGGGCGCGTGATCAAGGCACTGATTGGTGTGCCACCCGCATGTCCAGGAGGGGGAGTTCTATGGCTCCTAACCGCAGCATCCTGTTATTCAGGTCGGATTGTATCAGCCTGTTTCAGGCTTATCCCAGCCCCCAACAGAAGGGTAGGAGCTTCTTCTTTCTTTCTGCTGCATAGAATTCCATTGTGTAAATGTACCATAGTTTTTTGATCCATTCATTTACTAATGGGCACTGAGGTTGCTTCCAGCACTTGGCTATTGTAAATTGTGCTGCTATGAACATTGGGGTGCCTAGGTTCTTTTGGATTGGTGTTTCAGGGTTCTTAGGATTAGGATTTGATCCAGTGGAATTGCTGGATCAAAAGGTAATTCCATGTTTAGTTTTCTGAGGAAATTCCATACTGGTTTCCACAGTGGCTGCACCAGTCTGCATTCCCACCCACAGTGCAGAAGGGTTCCCTTTCCCCCAAAACCTCTCCAGCACTTGTTGTTTGTTGCTTTGTTTGTGATGGCCATTCTCACTGGTGTGAAGTAGTTTTAATTTGCATCTCTCTGATGGCTAGTGATGCTGAGCATCCTTTCATATGTCTCTGGACCCTCTGTATGGCCTCCTTGGAAAAGTGTCCCTTCAGGTCCTTTGCCCATTTAATTGTTTGTCTTCCTGGAGTGGAGTTGTATGAGTTCTTTATATGTTTTGGAGACCAAACCCTTGTCTGAGGTATCATTTGCAAAAAATATACGGCACTCTTGTCATCAATCTGGCAAAGATCAGTGAGAAGGCGCCTTCAAGTATTGTGAACTTAAAGGTTCCAATTAAAGTTAAAGTGCCTCTCAGTCATTTAAACGAGAGGGCAGTTTGGAAGATTAAGATGATATATTTGAATTCTTGCTTGATTTCCCCATCGAAGCTCGTGCTATGAAAAAGGCACTCGCGGAGGGGCTCATTAACAAATTCATGCCAGGAAATAACTAGTAAATAAGTTTGATTCCACAGATTTGATGAATCTCATGCCTCAGTGCAGGGGCAGACAGATAGTCCTAAAATATGCTCTGTTTTTAACTTACCTATAAGGCCAAATAAATCAGTAACTCCCTACAGAAAACCACTAAATCCGCGTCGCCTCGGTCGCCTCAGGGGGCTGTGGCTTTGGGCGGGGGGTGTTTAGAGAGAAGCACCCTTCCACGGAGTGCTCCGGATTAGCTCTGCTTTTAGTGAAGAACTTCCAAATGGGCACAGGAATATATATATTATATATATACATTATAATGTATTATATATATATATATATGAATGGATGATTGCGAGTGGCATATGGCCCAGAGCCCTGTCACGAAGCCCCTCCTCATCTGTGAGCGATACCCACAGCCCAAAATTAGAGCAAATACGAGCCCAGAATCCGCGCCACCTTTATCAAACAGCGGGATTCTGAGGATCTCTAGCCAGACACACTGGCGGGGCTGGTAGAAGCGAGGGACCCCTTCCAAATGGGAATGACGTGTCCTGGCCTGCCAGGCACCAGGTAAGTCTGGGCTAATGTCTCAGGAGAGCTCCCAGGGCCAGAGGTCCCCAGAGGTCCCCAACTCAGGGCTTCCGGCCCTCACCGGTCGTATCAAGCACCAGGAGCCCTGTGAGCACACGCGTGTGTAAGGACACAGCAGGAACGGAATGTCCCACCAGCCCCAGCCAGGAGCAGAAGCTGACCCCACCCTCCGCAGATTCGCCCCCTCCCCAGCCCGGCCTAGGAGTTTTCGCTTGGGAGATGCAGGGCTGAGAAATGCCCTGCAGGTGTCGGGGCTCTGGGTGGCGAGGACCACGGCCGGACGGGGTCCCTGCCTTCCAAGAGTGGGCCGAGTGCTGATGGGTGCTTCCTTTCCCACGTGGCAGCCACGGCTGACCAGTCGGCGGCTTCGTTCGAAATGGAGATGTCGCAGACCGGCTTCAGTGCACACTACTCACAGGTACGTCGACGGCCTGAAAACCAAATAGCTTCTTTCATTTCAAGAAAATAAAAGGTGGCTCACGGATGTATTTCAGGAATATGAAAGGCATATTTTCTGAGGTTTCCTCCCCAAATCAGTGCCCAGGCACGCATGCAACTCGCAGTCTGTGGCCTGAGTGGTCGCTCAGACGGTGGTGACATTTCTACCCAAGGAGGCAGATGGCATCCACGAGCATCCCAGTTGGAAAAGGTGTTCTCCCGCCCGGCTTGCTACTTTGTAACAATGGTGAATCCGGTTTTGAGGTCCGCTCTATGTAGCGATCCCATCTGGCTAAGTGAAATACTTAATTTAAAATGTTTGCTAGTGATACCGAATGTATCTGTTTCTCAGTGTTAACATCTTCAAGGGTTTTCATTTGTAGTTGGTGGAAGGAAAGGGACCAGGGTCCCTGCAGAGGCACAATGACATTTCAGGGCGCTATTGTGCCATAGAGCCCGGGCGGGGCAGGGCACTTACCAGCCTCTGGGTCTTCTCCTGTCACGTGGATTTGGTAATGACGGGGTCTAGCCCCCACAGTTACTGAGAGGGTTACTCGAGTTGATGTGCGCTCAGCACTTCGAGGAATTCCCATCATGTGGTCAGTGCTGCGTAAGGGTTTGCACTTGCTGCTCTGATGAAATATCAGCGCTTTCTCTCTTTGGGTCAGGAGTGGGTCATGCTGGGCGCAGTAGGAGCCTACGATTGGAATGGGACGGTGGTCATGCAGAAAGCAAGTCAAATCGTCATCCCCGACAACACCACCTTCAACGTGGAGCCCGCCAAAAGGAAGGAGCCGCTCGCTTCCTATCTAGGTAAAGTTGGGACGTCATTGACAGAAGGTTACCGGGTTTTCATTTTCAGCATCACCTGCTCATGTTGTGCCAGCTTGCTTAAACTAACACTGTGTGGACAGGCAGATCCCTGCCAAGAGTCAGTGGCTTCGCAGGGCCTGTGAAAGTCTCCGGGTCTCCAAGCAGCCAGAGTCAAAACTACAGAGTGTGGAAGCCCTTCCTTCTCGGAGGGGCCTCCAGGGAAGCGGTTGATGGAGACTGTCAGGTACCCTTTCAGAGGCCTCGCTGGGTCTGGCCTTCTCTTGGATTTCAAGAGCCTTCCTGGTGGACAGGAAGTGAGGCTGGAAAAAGAAAAGTCTGATATCCTAAAAATCAGGCTCATATTTCATTGTGATAAAAGCACTGAACATCACATTTACTTTTGAACAGTTTTTAAGTGTATAGCATATTACTCTTGCCTGTCTGTAGTCTCTTAAATATCCTCTATTCATTTTTTAAAGAAAATTCTCATTGTTTTGCCACGTGGCTTCTTCTTTAATGGCTCTATTCAATAAGACACATATTGAAGTTGCGCCCAGTGATGTGACATCAGCCAGTCTCCCAGACACTTACCTGGACTGAGGCGGTGTGTGTCTGACCCGCCTCCCTGGAGGTCGGCACCAGGCAGGGGCCGTCCGGGGGGTACCAGGTTGTTCTGTCACTGACTGATGTCAGTAAACAGTTGGAAGAGCCCAGGATGACGAGGACCCTGAAGGCATGGTTCCCCAGCTCTGTACTCAGCAAATATTTTGGAAGTTCCTTTTTTGCCCCAGGCATGGTTCTTGGTGCTGGGGCTGCAGAGCTATGAAAACAAATACCTTACCGGGTTTTTTGTTTGTTTGTTTTGGGGGTTTTTTTGCACTGGTGTTTTAGCATGCTGGCATTCCTCTCTGGGGTCTTTCTGTCCCGGAGGTGAGTCTTTTTCTTTCTCCCCATTTCTTCCCATCTCAGAAGAAGGGTAACAGGTATTTAGTGGTGGATTCATGCAGCTCCTAATTCAAGGCCACACATTAAAACTATAAAGGGAACAAAAGTGAAAAAGAATAAAATCCTGAGGTTCTTTAGATAAATAAGAACATATAATGGTAAACAGCAGCTATAATGTGAGTGCTCACACCCCGTAAGGCATATTGAAATGCATTCGTGAAAGCCTAGGTCTGTTTCTCATTAGTCCTGTTGGCTTCCGTCCTGGTTGGAGAGCAGCTAGAATATCCGTGCACTGTTCTAAGCATCATACATTATAAAAGAAAAAGCCAAACTGTGTCTTCAGATTATCTAAAGGTTACAGATCTGGAAACAAACGCCTTCTACCCATCCCTCTCCCCCCAGACTTGAAGAAAATGATTATTAGAAAACAAAGTATACACCTGTGTGTCATTTAACTGTTGGGAGGATTGGGGTGTGAAGCGGAGTCGCTGGGCTTCCAACGCATGTCGAGTTTTAGCGTTAAAGGAGGTCTTCGGGAGCGTAAAGTAAACCTGTGATTTTCCGAAGTAGGAAACTGAGGAACAGAAAGATTATGTCACAACCCCCTGCGGCAACCTGAAGCCAGAACGCCAGGCTCTCGGTTCTTATTCCAGTTCCCTTCACTCTACAAAATGCCTGATTCTGGGCTGATTGAAGGCACTGACACATAACACCTGCCTGCAGGGCACCGGACACAGTTATGATAGAGGACAACCCCCTAAGAAAGTGCATCTGTCCCTGCGCCAAAGGAGCTGCGTTTTGGGGTCAGCGGTGCCAGACAGTGAACCAAACAATCAGTGTTGGTGTAAATCACACGGTGCCGTAGAATTTACCGGAGTCAGCAGGGGGTGAGACTGGTCGGCTTCCGAAGCTCCTTTCTGTTCCAAGATCCCACGGGACTGTTTTATGGGAGGTTCTTTGCAATCAAGAACCAGTTAACCCTGAGGCTCCTCCGCGTCCTGGCTGGAGGAAGCTCGGACGTTTGTCCTCACGTGTAAGGGTGGTACATGAATTAGCATAGCTCTTCCGGAAGGTCACGTGGCAGTGTGTGCACAGAGCCATACACACGGTCACCCCACATCGACCCAGAGTTTTACATCCAAGGCTCTAACCTACGGAAAAAATCCAGCTATTTAAGAGTAGCAAGTGAGCACTGATCTTCCTTGTATTGTTATTTATGATAAGGGGGAAATAGTGAGTCCTAGGTGTCAAGAAATGTGCGACTAGTTAAGTGAGTGGTAAATCCACCCAGCAGAGCATTTTGTGCCTGTAAAAGCGAAGACTATAAAGTCACTGCAGGCGTGACAGCGAAGACTAATGGGGACGGGGGCCCAGGGGTGCGACAGGGGATGCTCTGCGGTCACAGGGGCTGGAGGAAGTTTTCCGACTCTGCCCTTGGCTAGGAATTTAGGAAAATGACTTTGTTCCTCAAAACTCCAATTTGCTGATTTCTAATATGGGAATAACTACTGTATATGTATAATAATTACATATATATATGTATATGTACTTTGGACTGTCAGGAGTATTAATCAATACCTGTAAGCTGGTTAGTTTCGTACCTGGCAGATTGCAGACACTCACTAGGTGTTGTCTATTGTTTTACTGTCCTGTGATGTTACGTGATAAACATTCCTCTTACGAGTACTGTGGTCAGCAGACTGACGACTGGATATTTCTCAGCAGGGCAGCACTGCGCACACACCAGCGGGTTCCCCTCCTTCTTCTTCTCCATTTTATTTGTGTATAAACGTGACCCTACAGTTTTACTTTCCAGCATCTTCTAGTTAGTGACATGAAAACATGGCCCATTACAGGGTGAAAGAGAACAGTCTATCATGTGTGATAAGTTTTAGAAGCTCAGAGAAAGATGAGGAAGTAACGTGAGAAAAATATTCACGAGGGAACTAGGCCCAAGGAATTGTGTTTCTGTAGGACTCGTGAGAACAAGACACATTTTAGTGCAAAACCCTGTTTCTTTATCAAAATCTTGGGAGAAAGGGGAGCTGCTACCTGATGGTGACATACTCGGTAGGTGAATTGTCAATATAATCTTTTTCTCAGTGAGAAATACTATTCTGTGACATTTTCAGAAATAGTCTGCTTTCTGCTCCGTGATTAGAGCACATCTTCCTGTGTACAGTCGACACCTGGCGGTGGGCATTTTTACCTATTGATTTAGCTCTGTTCTCTAGAGACACAGAGAATGAATCAAATTCTTCGCTCAGAAATTAACAGGAATTTGTTTTAAAGATTCAATTTTAAATTCTAAAGGGCATGAAAGCCCAAGTCAAAGGAGGAATGATTAAACATGAAATGCTGTTCAAGCTGTATAAATTTTTTTTTTACTTTATTGAGTTGAGAGAGAGAAGCCTCTATTTGCTGCGGCACTTACTGATGCATTTTGTTCACTGGCCGACCCCCGCGTGTGTCCTGACATCGAACCCACAGTCTTGGTGAATCCGGGCGACACTCTCACCCGCTGAGCCGCCCGGCCAGGGCCCGCCTCCCTTTTACTCAAACCAATGCAGGTCAAAGTCACAGTGAGTTACTCTGATTAGATTGTGTTTAGCGTATTTTACGACATCCACAAATAAATAACGGTGATGGTACACGGCATTGGGAAGACTTTGAAGGCAACTCTTCTTCCCTTTCAGTAGTTGTTCGTGGGATTAGTACAGATGTTCTGGAAACAATTTGCCAAAGAACCATGAAAATTTTGATCCAGCGACCTAGTCATGAAAATTCACCACAAAAAAAAATACAAAAGAAAGAAAAAAGTTAAATATTGAAAGATGTCTTTCCAAGGCTTAAGTATCATACCAAAAAGTTAAAAAAACACCTAAACTTTACCATTCCATCAGGGAATAATCCTTTAGTATAAATACAAGTTTTTATGCTTTTCCTCAGAGAAATCACTACAAGCATTAAAAATTATCATTTAAAACCTAGGCCACGACACAGAAAAGTCTCACATTTGCTACGATGCCAACTGTATCAAGTTATTAATTTCTGTAGCACAGAGACACGTGTTTGGATGAGACAGTACTGATTTATTACAAAGTGGTAAATTGCAATTGCGAGAATCTTTTGGTGAGTTTATTTTCTTTTCCCATCCTCTTTGTTATATTATTTGTGCCTTTAAATAAAGGAAAACTGAGGTTGGAGGAAAAAATACCCTTTTAGGACAAAACACTTGTGGTAGCTAATCAGAGAGCACACTCAAAGCTTCTACCAAAACAAACTTACCTGCATTTAAAATGCACACATTTGTTTTTTTAAAGAAAGGAAGTCCGTGTGAAGACAGACATGTCCTCCCAACCCTCTGCAGTGGCTGTTGCTTTAGTGGGTCCAGACCGTAAGGGGTCACGCGCATCTCTCTCACGGCAGGGTACACGGTCACCTCCGCCACCGTCCCGGGAGACGTGCTGTACATCGCGGGCCAGCCCCGGTACAACCACACGGGCCAGGTGGTCATCTACCGGATGGAAGGTGGGGACGTCCAGATCCTGCAGACCCTCCATGGAGAGCAGGTAGCCGGGCCATCGTTGCTGTAAATCAGTCCAGTCTTCCTCTGTGTACATTTAACTGAAGTGCCCACTTCCCTAACTGAAAAGAAAACCAGTACCCCCCCCATTCCACCTCAGCTGAGAGCGGACCAGAGCTGGGTTCCTGGGTCTCCGGCCTCAGGATCCTTCAGCTGGATGGGGCGGAGCAAAGATGTGTAGAGAACAGACGCAGGTACAGGTGTACAAACCCACGTACCAGAAAAGAGAGAGGAAACATCGGGAAGGAAGGGTGACCGTGGCTCAGACTGTACGTTGGGAAGGCGGAAGCATCCTTCAGCTCAGAGGGGTGCAGAAGGTCTTAATGAGAGATGAAGCCCCAGGAGTCTCGAAGGAAAGTCAGAAGGTAGATAGGAAGGGGCGGTGAACACAGGCCAGGTGAGAAGAATGTGGGCCCTGACGGTGTGAGCGTTAAACGACAGGTCTCCTGGGGGAACTGGAAATTATTTGTCGCAAGTAAACTCGGAAGCTTCTCATCAGACGGTATCGACTCTCTGGTGGGACCTGCCGCCCCAGGGTCCCGGTACCGGTCGGCCGCCCCGCGGCGTGTGCCGGTGCCAGCACGCACACGGCTGCACTTCATCACGCACCAAAGCGCTTCCAAACGCCTTCTGTTGCTTATCTCATTTCATTTCCTTTAAAAAATCACTGCAGTGTTACGATCTTTTCTGATTTGTGGAGAAGAAAGTGGGGGGGCGGTGATTCTAAAGGGAACCCTTTCTCTTAAGCTGCGGAGCGTCTAACAGCTGCCCCTCCCCCAGGAGGGGCTGGACAGGCCCTCAGCCTCTCGAAAGAGCCCACAAGGAGCTCTCGGGTGGCACCCGTCTCTGTCGCGCGTGTCCTCTGCCCCCTGCGTCTCACAGGCTTGCCTGGGCTGGTGTGAGGGACAGAAACGCAGGGTTTCCGCCTCCGTGAGCACCTCTGACCTCCGTGGGGCCGTGTGGGTGTGTTTGTGTCCCAGATCGGCTCCTACTTCGGCAGCGTTCTAACCACGGTGGACGTGGACAGAGACTCTAACACCGACATCTTGCTGGTTGGGGCGCCCACGTTCATGGGCGCGGAGAAGGAGGAGCAAGGGAAGGTGTACGTGTACTCTGTGGACCAGGTGAGGGGCCCGCCGGGGAGTCTCTTCCCTTCTTTGAATTTCAGATCAAAGTTGTAGTGTCTGACTTCTCACTCAGTTTGGAAAAAGAAGCAAGGAAGATTGCAGGGATTCTAATAAAGCGGTTCAAGCCTGTGGATATTTTCTGCTTCAAAAATGTGAACGATTCTTTTTAAACAGAGTGTATAGGATAAGGATCAATATGCACCTCACTAAACTGTGAAGTCAAGTCACAGGCAGCCGTTCTCCAGCTCTGACCTGGAGCTCGGGGGTGACCGTTCAGGCTGGGGGAGCTGGGGGAGCGGGCGGGCTGAGGCAGCGGGAAAATTTAAGGCAACGGCGGCAGACATTTTCAGCAAACGCCCGTGGCCTTGGGACACTTCACTGGCCTGGAGCAAGATTCTGTGTCCTCTCCTGACTTTAGACAATCTTTGTTAGGTGAAATCATTCTCCATTTCTTCACTGGAAGAGGGGTTTTTTGTTTGTTTGTTTGTTTGTTTGTTTGTGGAGGGTCCTGTCAACTTTTCTGTGCCCTGTACTGTTTTTCCCTTTTCCCGGAAAAGCGTGTTTCTGCCTACAGTTGCTCCTGCTTCCTGCCCTTTACTGAGCTTTCAACTTTTTTCACTCTAGAGAGGTTTGGAAAAAGTTGGCTTTTGAACAGATACTTTTCAAAGAAGCACAATATTGCACTAAGAAAGCACAGTGACGTGAATCGAGGATTTCAAAATTCAGTTCTTTTGCTTTAAACAGATGCTGTGAGTTATACGCTCACTCAATTGTATTAAAAAGAGAATCCATCAAATTCCTCCCTCCATCTTCTTTCCTGCACGTCTACAGTCTGTTCTTTAAAATCTCTCAGTGGTGCCCAGTGTTTCAGAAATTTCACAAACGTGGCTTGTGGTACAAATGGTTTTACCAGCCCGATGTAGTACGCACTTAAAAATCCCCCTCTGCTCAGTCACGAAGACGCCGGTAAGGGTCCTGTTTATCTTTCTGCCAGACAAGGTTTGAATACCAAATGAGCCTGGAGCCCGTTAAACAGACCTGCTGTTCGGCCCTGAAGCACAATTCGTGCACCAAAAAGCACAAACACGAGCCCTGCGGGGCCCGTTTCGGGACGGCGATCGCGGCTGTGAAGGACCTCAACCTGGACGGACTGAACGACGTGGTGATCGGCGCGCCGCTGGAAGGCGACCACGCGGGCGCGGTGTACATCTACCACGGCAGCGGCCGGACGCTGCGCAGACAGCACGTGCAGGTGAGGCCGCGCGCGCAGGTGGGGGGCCCGCCCCTCCGCAGACCCGCCCTGGTGGGGCCCAGTGGGGATGGCCCCCGGCCTCCCGGCTCGCTTCCTGGGTGTTCGCCTTTCTTCTGACTGCAGTGGGAAGCTAGGTTTCTTACTCTCTCCCATCTTGGGAGAAGAATTACTTTGTATTTCATCTTTTTATCTAGTTTTTTTCTGTTGTGTGCCTTGTATCCTTAATCTGATCTTTTGAAAAGGTGAAGAACAAACACACGCAGAACAGAAGAGCACTTTTTAAGCTGACGCCTGCATTGTGCCTGACCCAAAGCAGAAGGCACCACTTTCTGAATGAGGGAACAATCATCATACGGTTTTGCCAATAAGGGAGATTAGATTATGGGTTTTATGTTCAGTGTCGGTGTTGTTATAATAAAACCTCATTACCTTTGTATTTAGGAATTAAACTGGTATTTTTCCAGCAAATGAATTTGGGTTTCCAAAAGCTCATCATTTTCTCACAAGTAATCCCTCTTGGAAAAGCTCATCTGAGTATTTAGACCAGGCCTGCAGGAGAATTTCTGCTGTTCCTGTTTTAAACTCACTGTTAGTTAGTGGCTCTAATCCATAAATGTAACTTTTCCCTGTATGAGAAAAACATACTTACAGAAGCATTTGATGTACTATAAAAACTCTGGGATTATCTTTAAGTAGCCACAGTCAGGAATTGGACCACAGTTCAAAATAGCGTGGGGGTTAGTACTTTCTAGGTTATGTACCAGGAAGAGAAAATCAGAACATCAATGATTTCTTTTTGCGTTTGGTTGCTCTCTGTGGTGCAGCGACCCACAGCAGGCTCCGATCTCATGTGCCGACCTGTTCACGGGTCGTGAGGACATCGGTAGGGAGAGAACAGAATAAAGGGCCTGACCCAGCGACAAGCCGACTCTGCTCTCCGTTGAGTAAACAGTTTGCTTCTGTTAAAGGGCATAATATTATGTACTTTCCCGGAATCCTGGGGCTGACGCAGTCAGGCTCTGCAGGCCGGGTTTCCTTCTTGAGTTCTTACCAGCGCATCCTTCATTATTAAGCCTGCGCATTTAATGGAGCGACCTTTGCAGTAAAACAGGAAGGATTTTAAATTATTAATAAATGGAATGGAGTTGTCATGAGCAATTTATTTTGTAAAATGGTGATAAATCAAGACACAGATTTAAACAACTAAAAAGAGTATTAGAGTTGAGTTCCTTTAATTATTGGCAGAATGTTTTCCCAAAGATACGGTCCCTTGTTTCTGTGGCAACCAGAGGTGCTGCTTGTGTAGGTATGGGGGGAGGACCCAGAATCACACTGGATCAACTCTTCTAGAACCAAGGATGCAGATGTCTCCTGATTTGTTTGGGGGTGGGGAGGCGGGGAATAAGGAAATACTTCCCAATGAGCCACAAACATTTAAGCATGAAAAACATTCCCTTTTGGTTTGCTTATTTGGCCTCTTAATTTATGATTCGTAAGTGGAAAAAAATCATTATCGGGAGGGTGAGAAGGCCCCGAGTTTAGGGGGTATCTGTCTGTCCTGTCTTCTCACCATGGGGCTCCATGACAATATTACCGGCCTGAACCAAAGGTAAGTCAGGAGTACAGACGTCGAACATCGCGCACGGGGATGCGCACAGATCGGCCTTGGAGAACTCCGAGCTCGGCTGCGCGCTCCCAACACGCAGGACGCCTGTGAGTAGGAGTCGGTGGTGCCGTTGACGCACAGGTTTTGGCAGACAGTGGAGATGAGCGCACGTTGAAAAATATATTCGGTGGGATGCGTTACTGGCAGCCAGCCCCAAGTTCAGCGTGTGTTTGCCAGGGTCCCGGCGCCTTTGGGGTTCTCTGCGCCCTGGGGCTGCCCGGGAGCTGGACAGCAGCACCAATTCCAGCGTTTTCCTGGAGGAGTAGGTGAGGTGACGTGGTGTGATTTTCCGCCCTCTCTGGAGTCAGGAACCCTGATGTGGTTTGTCTGCACTATAAAAAGAACATCCTCTAGGAACATCTGGGTCATTTCCCTTGTCCCCAGATGAGAGGCCTCTTGGGCTGCTCCCCAAAAGTTCTTACATTTTAATATTTCGTTAACCGATCCAAGTTCTCAGATTTATTTAAAACTGTTTCGGAAGACACTCTTCTGACATAGAAACTCTCGGGTTTTCACAGCGTATTCCATCCGGTGGAGACGGCGAGACGCTGAAATTCTTCGGCCAGTCCATCCACGGAGAAATGGATCTAAACGGGGACGGTCTGACAGATGTGACGATCGGCGGCCTGGGTGGTGCTGCCCTCTTCTGGTACGCGTTTTAATAACACGCAGTGCATCCGCGGTTTCACCAACAGTTGGGGGGGGACTTTCAATCATACCAAACACCAATTTCCTTTTGTGCTCCACTATTCAGACAGAAATTATGCAGTTCGGCAAGCTGGGGAAGTCAGTAAGTCGTATTAAAGGAACAAATAGAAGCCACTCTTAATTTGCTCAGACTTTAAAATGCCTGCATCCCCAAATTAATTGTAAAATCCTAGTCAAGGGTTAAATATATATATATATATATCATTTTATTTATTAACAAAATAATTTATTAGTTAATAGCATTAATAACTCTACCTTTAACTAGTTAAAAACAACTTTGAAATAGGTTCTATTTGAAAAAAGTGGTTAAATGTATGAAGAATAACATTAGTGAGAATTTCGTATGATAATTTTTAAAAATGTTACAGATTTTATCAAGAAATATAAAGAAAGGATTTAATAAATTAAAACTAGATTTATGATATGAGCCTCAGTGGAAAACTCACATGCTGATTCTTTCAAATTGACCATTGGCTTAATGTAATTCAGGTGAAAATAACTCTCAATGGTCATTTCCCCAAAACCTTATCTAGAAAAGTAGCAAAGAAAACTGTGAAAGAGTGAGGTAAACACAGAGACCTGAAAATTGGTAACTGTTGTAACCTAAGATAAAGCTAACAGTCACGTAAACATTGTATACTAAATTATGCATTGATAATAACCAAATGCTTAATTTTTTTAGTTAATGCATGTAACTATGTATATACTTGCTATACATATAACTATGAAGTCTGTCCAGAACTCATCCAGCCATTTAATATGAAAAACAGAGACATTTGTTGAAGAAGACACAAGAAACATTGTGCGTAGGACAAGGACACCTCAGTCCCCTTCCAAGTAGGCACCTAGGGACCTCACACAGTTCTCCCAGCTGCCATCAGCTGCCCTGTTGTCTTTTCCTGAATCTCATCATTTGTCTGAAATCTCTTCCCTTTCAAAGGTGATTTTAATTTTGGGAAAAACCAGGAGTTGCTGGGCACCAAATCTGAGCTGTAGGAGGGCTGAGTCACCTGGGTGATTTGATGTTTCACCAAAGAACCTCTGCACAAGACAGGATGCATGAGCGGGTGCATTGTCGTGAAGTCGCCCACAGCTGCGGCCTTCTGAGTTGTCCAAATAGTTTCCGCAGGGGAATGTTCAAGCTTAACACAAAATCTGATGCAGATTCCTTTCCCTGTGCCCTCGGTCATTTTGAATGTGACAGCCACACAGTACACACATTCACTCAACAACATCTACTGCCCCCACTGACTGGTACAATGAAGCCATCACTGCTCACACAAGCACATTCCAGTCCACTCTCCTTGGCTGCCAGGTGACATCGGTGTCGCACGAACCATTCTCATTATATTAACAACGGCCGCACTTTTTCTGGACAGACAATATATATACACTTGCTATATGTATAACTTGAAGGAAAAGTGAACCGAAAGGCCGTGCCTAGAAAAGGAGAATGCCAGGCAGCAAGAGGCTGTGACCTTGGGGAGGACTCACTGAACCCAGAAGTCACCGATGTCAAGGGCAGAAAGAGCATGTGCTTTTTGTTTTTCTTGGAACTGTTGGTCCTGGACTAGATTACCATACACACCTCTTGGATACCTGGGAGACCCCCGGGGGAAATGCGTAACTCCCCAGGGTGGCTTAGGATTCAGGCTCAATGCCATTTTAATAGGGAAAGTGTCGATCTTTTAGGGGTAGCAAAGGCTTTCTAGGAAGGACGACCCGGCCTTAGGAGACGAGATGGAGGGGGGACGGTGAGTGAGGAGGTTTGTCTGGGTGCGGTGCACACCCCAGTCCCTTCTCCTGTGAAGAGTGGGTGCTCCCCGGCTGACGGCACTCCCTGGGAGGGGTTTGGGACAACTGTGCTCCTTTTGGAGCATCTGTCTTTGGGCAGGTAGGAGAGTTCTGGAAAAGCCTGTTCCTGCAGCTCCAAATAATCAATAGATTAATGCAGCAAGTGTGGGGGTGGCGTGACCTGAACTCATTGAGTCACATTTGGGAGTGGCACATTTGCTGTTCTTTATGAACAAAAGCCTCACATGCTTCCAAAGCAACCCAAGCGTCCCCAGAAGGTCAGACACATTCGCATCTGTGGTAAATTCCCCAGAGAAGTGGAGTCGGGAGGGCCCCTGCCATGCACCCGATTCGATGGCTTGCCTCTGCACTCCCCAGAGGGTGGCCTTCTGTACGTGCAAAAGTGTGGGAGTGACCACCACCGTTTCTGCATGTCTAGGTCCCGAGATGTGGCTGTCATTAAAGTGACCATGAGTTTTGAGCCAAACAAAGTGAATATTCAGAAGAAAAACTGTCGCATGGAGGGAAAGGAAACAGTGTGCATCAATGCTACAGTGTGTTTTCAGGCGAAACTGAAGTCTAAGGAAGACACGGTTTACGAAGCTGGTGAGTGTGCTGCACACAGCAGGTGCTGTGGGGCAGACAGGACGGTGCCGTTGCTGGAGACGGTAAGGTGCTGTGTGTCCCCTGTGACCGGGGTCTGCATGGCCGGTTGGTCCCCGCGAATGTGGGGAGCCTGGGACAAAACCTACCGTGCAGGCATGGGTGACGGAGCCCAGTGAACCTGGAGTGCCACACTTCCTGTAAACAGTCGGTGCTTAGAAAATAAACTGGGGAGAGAGAGAGTTCGCAGACCGTGCTTAGGGGCTGGGCTCCCCTGAGCCCAGCAGATGCCCCAACTCCACAGAGAAGGCCCTTTGCCTCCCCTCTGCCCTCTCCTGGGCAGGCTGGGAATTGCAGAGGGTGCAAGTGTGGTGCCAGCCACCTCCCCGGGGTCCCTTCACTCCACTCAGACGACCCTCATTTTTGAGAGTCTGACACTCGGGCACATCACAGCAGCCCGGGTGTGGCCCTCTCCCCGAACACGACACTCACCGAGGCTTTTCTAAAAATGATATTGAAATATGCCGGAGTCAAAACCATGAAGGCCACTGGCTGCAGAAGAGTGACTTAATCTGCAAACCAAACGTACGTGGAATGAGGGAAACATTGATCTTTAAGATCTATTTTCATTCATTGGCTCTATGTCCTCGGACAAGAAGACAGAGGAGGTGTGGGGATGGGAAACATTGATTTACATTTTCATATGCAACCTTATTTCAGTCTCAGTTAACTTTTGTAGAGCGACCGAGTGAGGAGAATTGTCACCTGCTTAGAAGTACAAGGTTTGACTTGTTTTCCTCATTATGATGTGCTTATTTCATTAAACTTACATAGTAAGCTGAATTCATTCTATGCTTTGATCATAGCCTAAAATGGCACTTGTTAGAAACTAGGTAAAAATGTGATTAGTGTCTCTATTAAAATACAACACAATCAATATTCTAAGCAAGTAAATCCTGTAGACACAGGTATGTATGGTCAGGAAAGAGGAGTGTGTGTGTGTGTGTGTGTGTGTGTGCATGTGTACATTACAAAATGAGTGTGATGGAACATCCAAAGTGTGGTGCCTGCACCAGCCGCTCCACAGAGTCCCCCCAGGCTCGTGTCTCTCCTGCGTACACCATCACCCTGTGGTGACGTGCTGGACAGCAGAAGCTCTGTGTTGACCGATGGCCCAAGAGGCCTTTCTGTCATGCGGACTGAATAGGCTGGGCCGCGTGAAGATCACTCTTAAACTCTTCTCCCCCTTGTTCCGATTCTGATTTCCCCAGATGTGCAGTACCGCGTCACGCTGGATTCGCTCAGACAGATATCGCGCAGCTTTTTCTCCGGAACCCAGGAGAGGAAGGTTCAGAGGAACGTCACCGTCCGGGGCTCCAGATGCACCAAGCACTTCTTCTACATGTTGGCAAGTAAATCATAGACTGTCGCTGCCTCCCTCCAAAGCCAGATGGGCGTGCGGGCGCTTCACGTCCGTCCCTTCTCTCTGGTTGATTTCAAAGTGCGCATTGTGAAATTAACCTACTTTGTTTGCTCACTGTTATCAGAAAGTCACAGGTGTGATGGTCCCATTCCCAAGTGCATTTTATAAAACCGCCTTTCCTCCTCCCTGTGTGGTCTCCAAGAACTGTGGCTCTGGTGATGGTGACGCCAGTAAGAGGCCTGTCTCTGCCCTCCCATATTCTTCCAGCTTGGAAACCCGGCCTCTCTGTCGGCCTTGTCTGCCGACTGGGGAGGATAAAAGGTTAAAATCCCGGAGTTGTTTCTCCTGCTCACCGGGTTCGATGTTGAGGGACCGAGGCTTGGATGTCATGGGACAGGGTGCGAGGTCAGGCGGGGCACTGCTTCCAGCCCAGTGACATCACAGCAGGGTGCCTCTGTCCAAACTTTAGTGTTGAGCACTGGTCTGAGAAGGAATGAACTGGTTGCCAGATTCCCCAAAGTCTTTTGGATCTTCATGGATACGTTACCATTTGTCCTGGACTCAGCCGGGGTGGATTTGTACCCGAGTGATTCTGGCGAAGTTGTTCAGTGTCTCCCAGGTTCATCCATAAAATGATGCCTGTGGTAGAGACTCATCTTGGACGTCTGTGGAAATGACACTGCTCAATGTGTATAAAGCTGATCACTCTGGACAGGCCATGAATGCTGTTGTTACTGCTGACAGTCTGAACAATATTGACCGTATCAGCATTATTTACATGTCATTCACCTCATATAAGTCTCACAATTCAAGATATGTAGCGTATTAGTGAAGTGCAACTCAAAAGAAGTTTGCTCTCCCGAATTGGGAGACTTTCCTGGAAGTGCCGCACAGCAGTTTGAGCTCATGGTCTCAGGGGAAATGAGACTGCTGTGCAACTGGCTCCCAGTGACCAGGTGTGACACGTCCTGTCCCCTCCAGTGGCCCCTCGGAGAAGCTGAGGCAGGCCAGCCTGTCGTCACCTGGAGCCTCTCTCTGGATTCTAGCTGTGGCCCCTCTCCTGGCCCAGGGCAGGCCGTCCCCAGCAAAACAAAGTCTGAGGAGGTCATACGTCAGACCAGGTGCCCAAGAGTGTTCTAGCAGGGCTGACTCCCAGGGGCAGGAGAAGGGAGCCCTGTCAAGGTCAGAATGTCCAGTAAACACGACACCAATGATGCATTGTATGTTTCGACCTCTAGGACAAGCACGACTTCCGGGACTCTGTAAGGGTAACCTTGGATTTCAACCTTATCAGTCCAGACAATGGGCCCATTCTGGACGATTCGCTGCCCAGTTCAGTACATGAATATGTAAGTCTTGTTTCTTTTCACTTTGGAATGCCTGTTTGTGAATATATTAAGGAAAAACTTGAAATACCTGAGCAGACACACATATACAGTTGATGCAGGGTTGTATGTGTGTGTGCATGACAAGGTACGGCATATTCCAGCAGGTACACACGCATCTCTAAATCAATTATATTTTAAAAAGATCCAGACCCTTGTAGGCTCTTCCCGGTTGTTTTCACTTTCTGTCGTTGGAGTTTAAGGGAACTTACAGTTGACAGCTGCTTCTGTCTCTCCTGAATTCAGGACCAGTTTCAAGAAAGACGTGGGTTGGTGGATCAGAGCGCCCTTTTATTACTAGTGAACGTTAACGTACTTGACTTCGCTTGTTGGAACTATTCGAGGTGTAAGTCAGTATCAAGCACTGGTGTGAAAAGGAATGAACTAGTTTCCAAATTTGCCGAAGTCTTTTGGGTCTTCATGGACACTTTAACCTTTGTCCTGGACTCGGCCAGGATGGAATTTGTGTCTGAGTGACTTTGGCCGAGTCCTGCTGAACCAGACTCAGGCCACAGATGACCAAGCGGGTCCCCAGCAGTGCTCAGGGCTCAGGCCGCCGTCATGGGGCCACCTCGTCAAACTCGCAGAAGGCCTGCTTGGCATGGGCACACCGTGGTCCCTAGAGTGGAAGGGACGGGCAGGGACTGACCCGTGCTCAGCCAGGTCCTGCTCCCACGTTCCGAGCCCACGGCCCCAGCCCTGGGAAGGAGTGAGAGAGCCTGGAGGAGGATGGGTCCCAGGCGTGGCACCGGCAGGGAAATACCGGGACCGGGACTCAGCTTTCCCCGAGTTCCCATATCCCACTCTCCTTCTTTCTCCCCTCCTTCCCTCCCTCCCTTCCTCCCTTCCTTCCCTTCCTCCCTCCCTCCCTCCCTTCCTTCCTTCCTTCCTTCCTTCCTTCCCTCCTTCCTTCCTCCCTTCCTCCCTTCCTTCCTTCCTTCCCTCCTTCCTTTCTTCCTTCCTTCCTTCCTTTCCTCCCTTCCTTCCTTCCCTCCTTCCTTCCTCCCTTCCTCCCTTCCTTCCTTCCTTCCCTCCTTCCTTTCTTCCTTCCTTCCTTCCTTTCCTCCCTTCCTTCCCTCCTTCCTTCCTCCCTTCCTCCCTTCCTTCCTTCCTTCCCTCCTTCCTTTCTTCCTTCCTTCCTTTCCTCCCTTCCTTCCTTCCTTCCTTCCTTCCTTCCTTCCTTCCTTCCTTCCTTCCTTTCCTCCCTCCCTCCCTCCCTTCCTTCCTCCCTCCCTCCCTCCCTCCCTCTCTCCCTCCCTCCCTCCCTTCCTTCCTTCCTTCTGTCCTCCTTCCCCAGTCTCTTTGGTGAGAGTCTTCCACCCACCAGGCACCAGAGCCTCTGGCTGGCCTGGCAGACTCAGGGTAAGCAGTCATTAGAGGGCGGGCCAGGCAGGAGGACGTCAGAGCTCCAGAGGAACTTCTGCCTGGTTTGGGGTGTCAGAGGGCACGCCCTGAAGTCAAGGCTGTAGAATGAATGACTGTCCACTCTATCTGGATGCATGGAGGGAACCATGTTTGAGCAGGGGGCCATGTAAAGGGTCTGAGGCATAAAGAGCCAGACCTCAGCAGTGCAGCTGAAGGTGAAGGGCGAAGGGAAGGTGAGGTGGGGCAGAGACAGGAGCAGTCATTCATCCTTCAGCCCCGCACAGAGTTTGGATGTTCAGAAGAGCCGTGGAGTGCTGTCAACGGCTGGACTCGGTTCCGTGGCGGCTCTGGGTCTGCACGGCGTTGAGGGTCACTCTGGCCGCAAGGTGGAGAGTGACCGCAGAAGCACAGTGGGAGCAGGGGGCCAGCTGGGAAGCTGTCCCTTTAGGTCAGAGAGGAAAGGAGGGCGGCCGGACCAGAGGAGGCAGGAAAGGGAACAGAAAGGGGGGAAATTCGGGGAGAGGTAGAAAGGGCAGCTCTTGGTGATGAATTGGATAAAGAGGGTCAGCGGGGAGGCCTTTGTGAGGAAGAGGAGGCAGGGAAAGCTCCAGTTGTGTGGCTTGACCGTTTTCCACCTTGCGGACGGAACTCGGGTATGGTCCCACGTAACGTCCGATTCTTCTGAACAGAACATCTCGTCTTTGGAGTGAGTGTTCAAGCGTTCTGTCACAGTGCTTGACTTGGGTTTCTGAAGCCCTCCTGTTCTCGCAGACCAAAGCCAACGGGCCTCGTTTGTGGAAACTGCATCCTTTAAAGGACCGGAAGAATTTGTATCCAAAAGTAACAGTTTACTCAGTTCCCCTACACATTGTGGGGACAAATGGAAACTGTCCTAGGATTCCTGCAGTGGAATCGATTGTCCTTAGGAGTTGCTCACCTCATTCATCACTCGGCCATTTCTTGTATTCAGTTAACACTAAACCAAAATTTGAAAAATGCTCCCCGGACCGTTTCAGATCCCCTTCGCCAAAGACTGCGGGAACAAGGACAAGTGCATCTCGGACCTCGCCCTGGGCGTCTCCACCCCGGAACACAGCCCGCTGCTCATCCGGTCCCACAGCGACAAGTTCAACGTCAGCCTCACGGTCAGAAACAAGGGCGACAGTGCCTACAACACCAGGACCATGGCGCACTACTCCCCGAACCTCATTTTCTCCGGGATCGAGGTGCGCGCTCTGTTCTGCCCGGTTTGTTCCTGGGGTGATGACGTCTTGAGCCTACTTTTCACACAGCTGAGCTAGTTATTCTATTACACTGATTTTATAGGAAGAGAGCACATTTTGTACAAAATTAGTACCATCTGATGGTGAAAATACCAGAATGTTCTTGAGAGCTTTGGTTTTGATGTAATTCTTTAGAGATGTAATTCTCTTCTCAGGGTCAGGACAAGGAAAGGGTCTCTGACATATTGAAATTATGTATCAGAATCCTCACAGCGCCGCACCTGAGGCTGAGTCAAACAAAATAAACACAACCGTGAAAGTCAGAGCCATGTAATGGATGCGCAGAGAGGGTATGAGGCAGGTGTTGACTGAAACACACTTACAGGCGGAAAGATCAAGATACTTCCACTTCTGTGGGACCCTCACGTGGACGGGGGAGTGTGTGAAATGACTGCCTCGCTGCCCCCCCAGAAGTTTTCCCATGATTTTGGCAATAACAAAGCTACACAAGATGCTGGATCAGAAGTAATTAGTGCACACTTTGCTTTTAATTCTGATCTCTGAATGAACTGCCCTGAGTTAAATTCTGTATGCATTTGTACAAACTAATTATAAATGAATCCATACTTTTAATATTAGGCATTTAAAAGCCAATACGCTTACCATAGGTGATATTAAATTTTGTCGTTTAGTTTCTGTGACTTTATATTTCTCCTAATATTTTTCTCCATTTGCCGAGAGATCACTTAGCAACATGACTAAGGTATGAAAAAATGTTCTGTATGACGACCACGTGTTTTCAGTTAAGAATGTTAATTATAAACCCAAATGTGCAGGGTGATGACAGGAAAATGGTACTGCCCCGGTCACTGCCTGTGACCGCTCACTGCGTTCCCGGCCTGGGTGGAGAGACCCCTGGTAATGCCCAAAACCAGCGGCTCGCCCCCCTCCCAGTTCCCATGACAACAGTCCCCTAAACAGCCACCTTTCCTTGAGTCTTAGCGGGTGCCCGGCTTCTGGTTCTGCTCTCAGCGATTCTTTCCCAAGCAGGCATCACTGCAACGCAGAGACTCTAAAATCAACCCGTTCCCTGCACATTTTACCATTTCTGTAGTTGAATTTTACAATTGATGGTATGCTTATTAATCCAGCAGCATTATATTTTCTTTGTATCGGTATATTGAAATAATGAGGTGTCATATTAAACGGCATTTTAAACTTAATGAGATGGAGGATAGCCGACCCCACTCGACAGAAAATCAGGACTCTTGACGAGGTTGAGGTGAGAGGGGTGAATCCAGAGTTCAAAGCCCAGTGGTCCCAGGCGGGGTCCATGCTGTTCTCCCCAGCTGCCCTTCCCGCTGGGCTCGCACACGCCAGGCTGGTCCTTGTGGCCTTCCATGCAGCTGCCTGTGCCCCTGTGGGGCGGGTGCTGTGACTTCTCCCACTCCACGCGGGAAGGAAGATGCAGCTGGAACTGTGTGAAATGCTCCATCCTTCTTCCGGGCCCCGCTCATCATAAGTGATGTTTTCAGACGTCCACGGGGTGCGGAATGGGTGGCCCCAGAATGCCGTGACTTTCCCAGTGAAATCGAAAGGCAAATCTTAGCAAGGCAGAGTGCAAGCACAGCTGGGAAAATTCTAGAAAACTGAGACCAAGGATCTCACCTGCGTGTCGGCTCTAACTCTGTTTCCGTTCTTCTAGGCTATCCAAAAAGACAGCTGCGAATCCAATCACAACCTCACGTGCAAAGTTGGATACCCGTTCCTGAGGAGAGGAGAAATGGTGAGTGGGTCACCCCGAGTGCGTGTGGCAGTTGGGCGCGAAAAACCACATTTTTCAGTGCCAGCTATACAATTCCTTCTCGTGGTACTTCAGGGAGGTGTCGGTGAAGAAGGCTGAGTTTGCACGTTGAGCTCTTGGTTTCAAGAGGCAATTATTGCGTGAGCCACACTCGATCGCCGCACCCAAAGGTTGAGTTTATGCCGGATGGCCTATCTGTCGGCGTGGAACTAGAACATCCTCTCCCGGAAGTCGCTGCAGGGCAGACCTTTCTGACCTGCAGGGACTGTCCCTAGAGGGGCTTTCGTGCAGGTCAGGTTAGACCTTCGCACAGAAACTCTGCTGTCACGGTCCTCTCTCTTTTTAATAACAGCCTCATGGAGACATAATAGTTCATACACCACACAACTCCCTCATTTAAAGTGTGTCATTCAAGGGGTTTCTGTGTATTCACCAGGCTGCGAATTGTGTGACAGTCACCACGATCCATGTCAGAACATTCTCGCGCCCGCCCCAAAGGAACCCCGCACATGTGATCAGTTGCTGTGCTCTTTCCCTCAACACCCCATCCCCCAACCCCAGACATCCACCAATCCACCCTCTTTCTCGTGGATTTGCCTGTGCTGATAGTTTATGTAAATGAATTCATACAGTATGCAGTCTTTTGTGATTGGCTTTCCACTTAGCATAACATTTTCAAGGCTAATTTATATATCAGTAGTTTATTCCTTTTTATTTCCAAATAATACTCCATCATGTGTCACCTTTTGCTCATTAATGCATTGGGTGATCGGCATTGAGGTTGTTTCCACCTTTTGGCTACAGCATATAATGCTACTGCGTATAATGCTACAGTGTATAGTGCTACAGTGTATAATGCTACAGTGAATAATGCTACTGCGTATAATGCTACAGTGTGTAATGCTACTGCATATAATGCTACAGTGAATAATGCTACTGCATATAATGCTACAGTGAATAATGCAACTGTGAAGAGTTGTGTACCGGTTTTGGTGTGGATGTGTGTTTTCAGTTCCCTTGGGTGTAAGTGTAGGGAGGGAAGTCTTGGGTTACATGGAAACTATGTGTAACACTTTGGGGAGCTGCCAAACTGTTCTCCACAGTGGCCCCCACACCATTTTACATTCCTACCAGCGATGCGTGAGGGTTCCAGTTTCTTCACCTTGTCACTGTCTTTTCACTAATAATCCTCGTGGGTGTGAATTGTATCTCACTGTGGTTTTAATCTGCACTTCCTCATGGCCCGTGGCACTGAACATTTCTCACGTGCTCATTGGCCACATGTGTATCTGCACAGAAATGTCTACTCAGGTCCATCAGCTGTTGTTTCATTGGGATGTCTTTTTTTTATTGATCTGTATGAGCTCTTCATGCATTCTTCATTCGAGTTGCTTCTCAGATACATGACTTGCACACATCGTCTCCCAGTCTGTGCACTGACTTTTCGCTCTCTTGGTCTTGTCCTCACATGCATAAAAGTTACCTATTTGTTCTGCTATCACTCGTGTTTTTGGTGCTGTATGCAGGAAGGCTTTGCCTAAATCAAGGTCACAACGGCTTACTCCTATTTTTTCTTCCAAGAGTTGTATGGTTTTAGCTCTTACATTTCGGTCTGCGCTCCGTTTTCATGAACGTGTGAGGCTGGTGTAAGGGAAGAGTCCAGCTTCATCCTTTGTCTGAGCATTTCCAGGTGTCCCACACTGTGTGTCTGCAGAAGTGAATTATATTGGTGCTCTCACTGCAAATCAATTGACTGAAAACACCCGAGTTTGTTTCTGGATTCTTAATTGTAGTCCACTAATCAGTATGTCCATCTTTACCTCAATGTCACACTGTTTTGATGATTGCAGCTTTGTTGTAAGTTTGAAATCAGGAAATGTAAGTCTTCCAGCTGTTTTCTTTTTTCAAAACCATTGGCTATTCCAGGTCCCTTTCATTCCATTTGTACTTTAGCATCAGCTTGTTATTTTCTGAAGTTTGGTAGGGATTGCATTGAATCTGTACATCAATTCGGAGAGTCTTACCCCCTTAAAAATATCAAGTCTTCTTATCCACAACAATCAGATGTTTTACCACTTATTTAGATTTTCTTTATTGCTTTCAAAAGTGTTTTGTAATTTTCAGAATATACATTTTGCTCTTAAATTTATTCCTAAGCATTTTATTCTTTTTGATGTTATTTTAAATGGAGTTACTTTCTTACATTTATTTTCAGGTTTTTTATTGCTACTACATAGAAATACAATTGATTTTGAAATATTGATCAGTTACCCTGCCAACTTGTTGAAATTATTTATTAGTTCTAATACCTTTTTAGAGGATTCCACAAAATAGTCTATATACAAGATCTTGTTGTCTGCAAATAGAGGCATTCTTTCCGATTTAATGATTTTTATTATTTTTTTTCTTACCTAATTGCCCTGGGTAGAACCTCACATAGTAAGTGAAGAGAAATGAAGTAAGAAATTTTATTAACTATTAAATACATTCAATATTAAAGACAATATTTGTCTCCATGGAAAGCAGAGAATGATCATCTCACTTGATGATAAATAAGATATTTGCATATGTTTTCATTGGCAGTTGCATTTCAATAAATATTTGCTCCTCTGTTTTCTATTAAGTTAGTGAGGGAAATATTTAATTACTCAAAATGATTCAGGTAGGAAGGTACTTTACTGACTTGACCTGGATTTAAACAAAGAAGGGAAACACTGTCCCCAATAGTTATTCCAACTTTCTCATATTCTAATAGTTTATAACATAAGACCTCAAAATAGCCCCTGGTCTCCATCTGAAACGTCACGGACACTGGGGTGGACATCTGGAAATAGCAGTCACATATCTCTGACAAAATCTCTTAGCTTTTCTTTTTGCGAATAAGAATTCCAAAAGGCCTTCCCTTCGATGCATGTCACTCGTGTTCCAGGAAATGATGAATCACAGTAATTATCTCCAAATTCACTAATCTCTTCTGTGTCCATTTTAGTTTATGGAACAAACAGGACATACCAGTTTATTTTTGGAATCTCATCATAAAGTCTTTTTCTTGACTATCCAAATAAAATTTACCATGAAATTGAATTCCTTCTCTACAAATCTATAAAACACGCTTCACATTTGAAAAAACACACTCATAATTCCTCTAATTTGACATGGAAATAAGGAATGTCGGTTTTTATCTACTCCTTCCTTTGACCACTTTGATGAACCATGGGATTATCTCACTTTCTCAAAGAATAATGTCATGCTTCATGTTATATTCTAACCATTAGAGACATTAATTACAGTCTTAATCATTTATTAACCATTTTTTTAGCAATTCCTTCCTGCTTAGGGTAAAAGCCTAAATCAAAGTGTCTCATGTCACCAGTAGGGAGATGGGGAGATAATTGGAATATTTTGCAACTTATTTTTAGATGGTTTCACACTTAAGATACACTTTGGTTTTAAGATCTAGATTCAGGGCTGAAGCACTTCAGGGTCAGATTAATACGCACCAGGCGGCTTCTTCAGCCTGCCCTTCTGGGGGGGCCTCTACCTCGCCAGGAGCCCCCCCGGCTCCCACGTCCAGGCCGCCTGGGGGGCCCAGGGAAGGCAGGAAAACAGGGTTTCACTGAGAGGCTCTGGCAGTTTGGCCCTTTGGCTGTGGTGGTTCACGCCCACCCAGTAGAGCCGCTACCAGAACTGCGATGGCTATTTCAGAGCAAGAGGAAAACCGCAGAGCTGAAGATTTTTAGAAGAAATAGTTTTTAATGTCACTCAAGAAATACGTGGAAGAGGAAAACACCGGCGGGGGGGGGGGGGAATCCCTGTGAATAATAACATGGCACAACCAGGCCCATGTCCTGACCCTGGAGTTCTAGTTACCCTTCCGTGGTGGTGTCTGTGTTGGTTGGCAGAGTGTTGATCACCCAACTCTGTCCTGTCTAGCACTTAACTACAAAGGTGAAATTGCAGGTGGTTTCTACACCCTGCGCGTTTTGGGCCGTCTATACTGCTGGCCAAAATCCCAACAGGGCACAAACTGAGATCAGTCTCGAGAACGGCAAACACAGTTTCACAAACACCAGTGAGGGCTCTCAGACTGGGACTCAGTGTGGGCGTGTCTTCCAACAAACCCGGCTCCCGGCCTGCCTCCTGGTGTTTGCAAAGAGTCGTGCATCACGGAGTTCCTGTCTGTGCTCAGGTGTGTACATGTGCCAGAGCGTCAACGCAGCGAAAGCACTTTTCCATTTCCCAGAGGTCTCGCTTTAACCCTGCGAGCCTTTCTTTGTAAACTCGACTCACTGCTCTTCGGTGGTTCAGTTTGTTCTAAACAGCCAAGTCTTTTGTTTTACTTCATTGTTGTCATTCCCTGAAGGTCCCAGAGTTTTTTACACAATCAAATTAATGGCGCCAAGTATCTTTTCCTCTGTTTTACAATAAATATGCACAGGTGATTGCTGATACTTGAAGATTTACAGAGATTTTAGTTATGATCACTTCGTAATTATATTGTTTATTATTGTGACCTTCTGGTCTATGGTAATAATAATAAAACAAATAGGGTGGACCTTCGTGGAATGGTTTATGTTTAGTATGAGTTATCGTCATGAATATAGTTTGAGTAAAGTGTTTGAATTCAATATTAATGTGCAAAGCATATTGCATTTCATGTTGAAAAGTATGTATACACCGTATCTTTTTCTAGTTTTGAGATGTGATGAGTTTTTTTGTAAGATAATATTTTTCTTCTTTTTTCACATTTTTTATTGTTGTTTAAATACAGCTATGTCCATTTTCCCACCACCACAATACTTCTTAAATAACTTCACCGTATGAGTTTAGGTAATATTTTTTAAAGATTTTATTTATTTTTAGAGAGAGGAGAAGGGAAGGAGAAAGGGAGAGAAACATCGATGTGGTTGCTTCTCCTGTACCCCCACTGGGGACCCAGCCTGCAACCCAGGCACGTGCCCTGACTGGGAATGGAACCAGCGACCCTTTGATTTGTAGGCCCCCACTCAATCCACTGAGCTCCACCAGCCAGGGCTAGGTAGTATCTTTTATGTAACTGAATATTTTAATCAAAGTAAATGTTTTCTTTATCAGATGATAAACTAAAGATGTATATTTTTATTTCACAGGTGACTTTCAAAATATTATTCCAGTTCAACACGTCCTATCTCATGGAAAATGTGACCATCCACTTAAGCGCAACAAGGTCGGTTTGCATGAGCGCATGTGTGGGAGTAATAAAGGCCCTTTTATTTAATAGAAATAATTTAATTCTCTAACTGGATTAAGCCACTTTTTTTGGATGAGCTGCAGAACATGTTGTAATCACATCACTTACATCTGCCAAACTGCATTTAAACTCATTTAAACTCTCCAGGCCCGGCTGATTTAAAAACTGGTACTGGCTGCCCAGCAAGGCCAACGAAGGCATTAGACAGATGTAGCATCGTGATAACTTTCAGTAGTTTAATTAATTGCATCCAAATCAATCAAAGCTTCTGAAAGATAACATAGGACACATAGGCTAAAAAAACCAAAAGGCTAATAAGAAAATTGAAATAGCGGCTTAACTTTCTCCCAATTGTAATCATCCAAAAGCCCCTGGGTTATAGTTTTATTGCTTTATTCCCAAGTAATTAGCATAGTGCCTGGTATCTAATCATCACTCAGTAAATGTTGCGTGAATCAATGGATAGATTAATGCTGTATGCTCAGTTCAGTGCAACTCAACGAATATTTATTTGAAATCTACAATGGACAAGATACTAAACTAGACACTGTAGGGAAAATAAAACTTAATAAGGGCGGGAGCCTCTCTGTGGGGTGAGTGTCACCATCCCGGGTGGATATTAGTGTCTACATTCTTGCCATTCAGGGCAGAATAAGGAAAACCCATCAGAGAAACCTAAACCTTGAGTCAGACAGAGACTTAATGGAGGGGGAACGTATATCTGTTTAGCAGTGAGAACTCAAGATAGCCTCATCAAGATTATAATTGAGAAGGTCCTTAATGGACGGATAACAATTCACAAAGGAGTCAGCGGGACCGGTGTGAAGCACTGCAGACAAAATGTGCAGCTTGAGCAAAAACTCAAAGGTGGGTCCCTGGAGCAGCTGGGAGGGTACTCGGCAGTTCATTTCCACTCAGCTACACAGGATGCGTAAGGAGTGTGCACCCCACCGTGGTATGGCAGGTACTGAATGTCAGAACTGAGGCGTTTTTTAGAAAAAGATTTTACTTATTTGTTTTCAGAGAAAGAGGGAGGGAGGGAGGAAGAGCAGCCAAGATACATAGATGTGCGAAGAGAAAGATCTATCGGTTGCCTCTTGCAGACGCCCTACTGGGGGCCTGGCCCGCAACCCAGGTGTGTGCCCTGGCTGGGAATTGAACCAGCGATGTTTTGGCTCACAGGCCAGTGCTCAAGCCACTGAGCCACACCAGCCAGGGCAGGCCATTTTTTTCTTAACTGAATAGGCCATGAGGAGCCAGAAAAGGTTTTGAGAGGTGGACTTGCAGGTATAGAGCTGCTTCTTGGGGAAATTCATTTGGCTGCAGGGTGAAATGGGTGGGTGCTGAGGGACTGTTCATAACGAAAGCCCAGTCACACCCAGATCTCTCCCCGAGCCAGGGGCTGCCCTCACTGCCCTGTCACCCACAGGCCACAGGATACCCTTGGCCACAGGATACCCTTGGGGGCCACGTACAGACGTTAAGAAGGCCCTCGCCGGCCACTCTGTGAGCCAGAATGCTAGGCTCTTGGCCGCTCGGTGGAGGGATGTGTGTGATAATAATAATAATCAAAGCTGACACTTATTATTCCCTCTGGGAAGCACTTTGCACCCACTTCTCACTCACCAGTTATTGATTATTTCAATAAAATCCCCATTTCACAGGTGGAAAAACCAGGGCACAGGGAATAACTAACTTACCCGAAGTGTGCCCGTGTGCACCAACAATCCCATGAACTCTGACCCCAGAGCCAGTGTTGGTAACTGTGAAATCACTCGTCCGTGCTTTTGAAATGCAGGGGATTGGGAGATACATGTACGTGTACCCCTGTGTGTACATATATATCTGCATGTGCTTACATAACGTGTAACTGGAATGATGACTAAAACCGTGGGCAGAGATCGGGGTTGAACAAGCACTGTGAGCACCGAGTCCTTGGTTTAGAAAGACTGTGAAGCTGAAGACAGAAGCTTCCAGACCCAGTTTCAGGTGTGTGACCTCAGCCGTGTCCCTTTGTAAGGCCCTCATCTCTGATGAACGAGTAGGAATCGCCTGTTAAAACCACAGAAGCCCCAGGCCCCAACTTGGACCTGTGAAAGCCGTGCTCCCAGAAGAGAGGCTCAGTAACCTGTGTATTTCAGAACCGGCCCAAGGATTCTCATCGTCACCCTCCAGGAAGTCCGAGAAACTTGGGACGAAGCCAGCCTGGCTTTCAACCCGAGGGGCTCCTCCCAATCAATTTGGGACCGTCTTACCAGCCCCTCTCCGACCTCTTTCCTTGGCTCATTAAAAAAATCCAGATTGAACTCTTTTGTGCTTTCCTGTAGTTACCAGCTTAAGCTTATCTTTCAAGGGCTCAGAAATGCCCCCAGTAGTCGGTCGGTCGGTGGTTGAACAGTTTGTCTGACTGTGCGGTGCATTTTCCAGTGACAGCGAAGAACCCGAGGAAACCCTTTCTGATAACGAGGTCAGCATTTCCCTCCCAGTGAAGTACGAAGTCGGACTCCAGTTTCACAGGTAGGAGGAAGCCGCTCGTGGGGGTGATGCCTTTCTACTGACCCAGGGGTCCCCGATCACGGCATCCGATCGGGCCCCTAACTCACCGGAGAGGCAAACTGTCGGGTCCCACCCCAGACCCACCGCAGGCAGCCCTCAGGCCTCTGAAGCGTGGGAGCCAGCAGACAGAGTCACCTAAACCCGAGGTGCCCATGGGAGGGGCTGCCTCAGAGCCCCGTCTCACGGCCAAGTGCACGCCAAGGCCCAGAAGCCCTGCACAAAAGGCAGCTGTTCTCACAGGCCCCCCCCCGCAGAGCCGTGGCTGCCGTTTTCATTGTGTGGGACCTGAGTGGCCTGTCCGTTCTGGGTACACAGCATTAAACCAGGTCTCCTTGGCAAGAGCTGCTTATTTCTGTACTTTTCACACGCTGTCCTTTCTCCTGCGGACTTCGGACGCACACAGCACCGGTCACGTCGGGCACACTTCCCTGCCCTGGGCTCCCTTGTCTAAGCAGGACCGCACGCCTGGTGTGAACACACAGGTGCACCGACTGCAAAAAGTGTGAGAACCAGAGTCGAGTTTAGTTTAAAAGTCTTATCAGTTCATTAATTTGTTTTCCACACTTTTTCCTTCTACTGGTAACAGAACACAGCATTGAGAGGACTGTAGGGTAGGCAGGAGGGTTTTGCTTTTATCTCTTACCCTGTAGATTTTATTGGCTCTTTTCTGTGTTGCTATGCCGACTGACTCTTATCCCAAGAATTTTTCCTTTATTTAAAATCAAGTTTTGGCAAATACTTATATTTTTTATTTCTCTTCCCTTAACCGAAGTGCTGCTTAAAAATATGTTTATATTATATTTTATTCTACTAAGTTCACCCAAAGATCATGAAGAAGTAGTATAGAAAAGATTGAATTTTTAAGTTTAGTAGTAAACGTAGAACTTGAAACAGTGAAAAAGTAACAATGTTTAAAAATCTATTTAAAATTCCACACTACTAAAAACACCGAGTTTTAGCCTGACTATTCACAAAATATGATATTAGTGAATTCTTGGAAACTTTTCATTTGGTAACAATGATATTTTAATTAAAAAAACTATATATATTTTAACACTTTAAGGCCATTTAAGCATCAGTGACGACTGGACTAAATTACCCATAATCCTTCACACCTTCCTCAAAGGTTTGATTTTAGGCTTCAGAGTGAAAGGATTTGCCTGTGACTTGAAAGCTCTGTAACTGTTTTTTCTGGGGTTATCTGGTGTGAAGAAAGAAAGGAATGAGGCCAAAGAAAAGTTAAACGGTGTTTGTTTTGTTTTTCTTCTTCCAATTAATTCTTTGCAGCTCTGCCAGCGAATACCATATTTCGATTGAGGCCAATGAGACGCTGCCTGAAGCTATTAATTCTACCGAGGATGTTGGAAGTGAAATTAATATCTTCTACTTGGTAAGAAGCTACCTTTAAATCAGTATTTTCAGAAGTTATTTGTAAATTTTTTAATTAAATGGAAGTCTTAGTAGACATGTAGAAATATACTGGTTCAGCAGTCTCTATCCATCATAATTTTCCTTATAGTTTCTCTATTTTAAAATAATTTCATTTAACTGGTCATTGTACTTGAACCAACTTTAAAGACTTAATTCTCTAATTTCTTGATAATAACACACAATTAATTAGAATGAACTCCCAGAAAAAAATAGACTGTGAAACCAAAAAGATACTACCTGTAATATTTACAGTATTTTTTAGTATGCCTGAGTAAAGCACTTTAAGAAAATAATTACTATTTCAGAAGTTGATTATTTAACTTTTTAAAAATATTTTATTTATTTATTTTTAGAGAGAGGGGAAGGGAAGGAGAAAGAGTGGGAGAGAAACATCAATGTGTGGTTGCCTCTCAGGTGTCCCCTGCTGGGGATCTGGCCTGCAACCCAGGCATGTGCCCTCACTGGGAATCGAACCAGTGACCCTTTGGTTCATAGGCAGCACTCAATCCACTGAGCTACACCAGCCAGGGCAGAAGTTGACTATTTAAAATTGCCTTGGCAATATTTTTCTTTACTCAGCAAGTTACCACATCTTGCATTCTGCGCATATGTATTAATACTATGACCTTTGTTCTCACTACCCCCCGTAAGTACTATCTCTGTTATGACAACTGTCTCCCCGTGTTGTGGGCCCCACACTTTTCCTGCCCACTCCAGCAAGCAGCCACAGAGTGGAGCTGGACTGTCACCGTGGGTGACGCCCCCTGACAGACTCAGACTCCAGTTAACGGCACTCGAGTCCCAGTGGGCCCAGTTCAAATGAGGGGTTTAAATACACAGTCAAAAGTATTACATAATGTGACCGACACTATTACGGGTGAAGGTGGTCTCATCTCTGGAAATTGCCAACCACAAAAACGAAAGTCCTCTCTCCAAGGGAGACGGATGCGTGCTCTCCAGTGCGTTTCACTGTTGTCACCTGTGCCTGGCGCTGGGATTCCTGCGACCCGCTGGTCTCCAGAAGTTAGCTCCTTCTGCTACTGGGATGCACTTTTGGAACTGAGACCACCAGGTGTTCCTGGCCCCCTTCACTTTCCAGAATTGGAGAATCAAGGAGACACAAGAAAGGAGGGGAAAAGCGGAGCGAGGAGAAGGGAGGAGGAGAAGGGAGGAGGAGAAGGGAGGAGGAAGGAGGGAAGGGAAGGAGAGAGAGACTTTGAATGTTGGAGATGTCAATATGTCATCATTTTTGAGAGTCCAGACCTGAAAGAGGTCCTCCAAATCTGTTACAATAGTGAAGTAAATAACATTGTTCAGCAGTACAATCTTTTGTATTGCTGATTATTTTGCTAGAGTAAAACCTGAAATTGGAGGAATAGAGGCTTTTTTTAAATGCAAACTCTTTTTAGGGGAAACCCAGTAACTTTACTGCTAGAAATTTACCACAGGTAATTAGTATTGGTGAGATAGACAAAAATTTATGCTCAGAGATGTTCATAGCAATGTTATTTATAGTAGTTTAAAATTAAAACCCAGGCACAATCTAAATGCTTTAAAGTGGTCCCCAACCTTTTTGGCACCCCAGTCGGGTTTCCTGGAAGATGATTTTTTTTTTTTTTGTGGACTGGTGTAGAGGGGATAATTTCAGGATGATTCAAGTGCGTTACATTCAAGTTCAACTGCTGCTGTGTGGCCCGGTACCAGTGCATGGCCCAGGGGTTGGGGGCCCTTGCTTTACAACACAAAATCACTTAAATAAATTATCATGTAGTTATTCAGTGGAAAGACAGCTATTATAATAGTTCAGAGGGCTCGTTTGGGAAAAAACACCCTAATTCTACTATTTATCCACTCTGTGAACTTGGGATATCTTTATTCTCATTCTAACCTTGTTTTTCTAAGAAGATATAACAGGGATAAGTGAATCCGAGTCATAGGGCTGTTAACAGGGGCAAAGGCAATAAAGGGAGAAAGGTAGCCCAGGGCCTGCAATGCGGCCAGCAAACAGTAACGATTGGTGGTGTGTTTGTTACTCGGTGGCTGATAAGCCATAGTCCCAAAGACTAAGTTTGCGGGTAATGGTAGATTATTTTCAGTATTTTTCAGTGTTTCTATGAGGAATGTTGCTTTTAACCAAAAAAAGGAAATGCTGACTGCAGAGTACAAGATTTCTAAGTAAATGTCAGGAAGAACTCGCCACGGGTGGCCTGACGTGATGTGACGTGGGAATGGGGTTAGGAGATGAAATCAGGTGGAGGTTGGACGGGGCTCTATCTGAACCTCATGGACCGTTCTGTCCGCAGCCAGGGACACGCAACCATAGCTGGGGGCAGGGCTGTGAAGAGAGGCAGCCAGAGGTCTGGTTCGCCTGTGCCGCGGGGCCATTGCCCTCTAGCCGGGGGAGAAATGAGTTGTGGAATTGTAGCAATCTGGGCCGAGGCCCACGAAAATACACTCACCTGTGCTGAGAGTTCTCTCTCCTGGCCACCTCCCAAAAGATGCGGATGTTGGAAGGGACGCTGAACGTGGTAACTGACAGAGAAAAAATTAAATCTGATTTTGTTTGAACGTCAGTCCTATTTGGGGAGTGGAGGGAGGAAGGGACAACACGTGGCTGTGTCCCAGGCACAGGATCACTGACCGTCAAACATCCCTGATTTTTTATGACAGAAAGGGTGCTATTGGAAGAGGAAGAAAGGATCGCATTCGGTTTTTCTCCTATAGGCTTACATTTTATTTTTTTCTTATAGATTGGGAAAAGCGGACATTTTCCGATGCCAGAACTTAACCTGTCGATTTCATTCCCCAACCTGACATCAGACGGTTACCCTGTGCTGTACCCCAGTGGGTGGTCGTCTTCCAACGTGAGTCACGGCACCTGGGGGTTGCCATCGCTGTTACCTTTCTCAGTCTGTATTTAAAGCCGTCTCTTCCACACGCCACTCGTGGCAAAGAGCTTTACCACAGTAACAAAGAGAGACATTTAGAAGAAAATTTTATATAATAACCTCTGCTGTTGGTTAGTAGATGCCTGAGTTCTCTGCAGCGGCCGTGGTAATGAATTGCCCCAAATTGCGTGGCCAATGACACAGAAATTAATCCCTTCCCACTTCTGCAGGCCCGGAGCCGAAAGTCACAGTGTGGGCTGTGTCGGTCCTCTCTGGAGGCTGGAGGGAGAAGCCACTGGGTCCCCGTGGCTGCTGTCAGCCCCAGCGTCCCTTGGTTGAGGCAGCATAACCCGGTCCCTGCCTGCCTTCCCTTTTCTGTCTGCTCGTAGGCACACTGCCCCGTGGATTTAGGGGCCCCTCTAAATCCAGAATGATCTGCTCTGGGATTCGTATTTAATCACGCCAGCAATGAACCTATTTCAAAACAAGTCTCGTTCACGGGTTCCAGGTCTTAGGACCTGAGCGGATCTTCCGGGGGGTCACTATTCAATGCCCTCAGTCTTCAATGCACAGGTCTCAGATGACTAACTGTCGACTTCCACCTGAGAGGCTCGTTACACCTTTCATTTGTTTCAGACGCTCAGAAAATGCTAGACTTCTTCATTGCTCCCAAGCGCACAGGTCTGCACATAGAATAGTACAAGGCTGTCTCTCGCCAAGAGCACCAGCGGCAAAGACGGAACCACAGCAGCATCATACCCCTTAGTACCTGTAACACCGAATGAAGCTATTCGGTGGTTAATTGTTATGGTTTAGTCTTTACGACAAAGAAAGTCACAATGAATCTTCTTTTCAAAGTTTAAAAATTTTTAAAGTATTCTCAAAAATCAGGAAATCGCTACCACGGCCAGCTACATTTAGATAGGATAAGTTGGCTTATCTAAATGTTTCTCTAAAGGTGAGGAGAAAAGAAACCAACTGCATTTCCCTCTAGTCCTAAAAAGCAAGGTGGTCAGAATCTACAAAGAATAAAACTGTGCTCTTCCTACAATTCACGAACTTTCTTTATCCTTACCACCTTTCATCGAGGATGTAGGGGGTCCTGGGGAAGCCAGAGGTTTATTAGCTCTGGCTAATAAACAGTTTCGGTACAAACAATCCGAAAACAGCTCCTTGCTAAACGTGGCCCTTCGACCTCCACGCGGCTGCTTCCCGGCACCTCCCCCCCCCCCCCCCCCGCACGGCCGTGGCGTCTCCCCCTGGGTGCGTGCGAGGCCTCCGTCCGAAGGCATGACCGGGTGAACATGTAAACACAGATGGAAATCTTCGTATCACATGTAATAACATCAGATGTAATAACAAATGCTCTCTTTTCTCAATATTTAATTTTTTACTCCCTCTGTATTATGGCAATTTATAAAATCAATGCCTTTCTAACAAATATGACTTGAGTTGGTGAGTTTCAACCTTTCTCATAGCACACATACACTAATTGTAAAATCTGTGGCATGCCAAAAAATATAGTTTTGCCGATCTGACAAAAAAAAAAATAGGTGTAACCTCGATCCATTCCCACCAGGCAGCCGTTGTTATTCGGCTGTGGGCATTTCTTAACCTGACAATCCAGGGAAAAGTGGTCAGCTCCCCCGACTGACAGTCGGGCAGGCAGGCTCTGACAGTCCTTGCCGGTCACCCAGGGCCGCAGCGCACGGGTTGGAGTCGCTGACTTTTGGAAGTTCCCCTGGCAGCCTTCCTGCTGCACAGAGACCTGCTGCTGCCTCTCTTGGCTCAGAGGAGGCGCAGGCACAGACAGGGACGCTGCCCCGCTGCCCGCAGTGGCCGCCCACAGCCGGCGGGGAGCAGCCCCTCCCACATCCCACGCTCCCAAAGTCCGGTCTCCCTCTGTGTCTGCGACAGTCAGTCGCTCACCGTGTCTTCGTGCCAGGGCGCCCGGGCCTTTCTCCCGTCGACACCTGGCGCCGTCTGATAAAAGAAATATTTTCATTTCTCAGAACGCACACTGCAGACCCGACGACCTTCGGGATCCTCTTGGTCTCAACTCTGGGAAGAAGACGAGGATGCTCAAGCCCGAGGATGTCAATCGAGACGCCATTGTGGTGAGTGCAGGGCCCAGGACCAGTGCCACGTCGACCCCATGCTTCCCGGGGGGTAGACTCCGTGCTGGCCCAGAAGCAGCTGCCCCAGCCTGTCCTCGAGTGCTCGCTCCCGTCACGGGTCAGAGACACTAACAGAGCCTCCGGGCGTTTACACAGGACTGCCGCGCGTGCAAGCTGGCCACCATCACCTGCAGTCTGACCCCCTCTGACGCGAGCCAGGTGAACGTGTCCCTCGTCCTGTGGAAACCGACCTTCATAAAGGTAAGTGGTCGCCGGGTTCCGTGACACTGTGATGTCCACGCACGGCAGTTGTCACTCCGTGGCTGCGAAGCGGAGAGCTTCTCCAGAAAGAACGCAGACCGGAGGTCTAAAAACAGGGGCCCGAGCCCCGGCTCCACTGAACCCGCCCGTGGGGCCTCTTTTCCTGACCGTTACCGTCCGCAAGGTCCCCTTCCAGCTACGCGCAAGTTCCCAGTCTTTATTAACCTCCTTCTTTGCATTTTGAAAGATAAACATCTACATAATGCCAAAGTTGGCACTTATCCTAACACTTTAGAACTCACTTTAGAGACAAAGAATTATAGAGAGATAATCCTTGATACTGTTAACAGAGAATAGAGCTGATGGATATCATGGGCTCACTGTATTCGATCAGACTACCTATACCTATATCTATATAAGTAGATATACCATTTATATATCATATATACATATTGGAGAACACTTTAACACCTAAGAAAGTCATATCCCTGACAAAAAACCACCCTAGAACTTAGGTAGTTTGTATTTCGTTTTGTTTCTGTCGTAGAAGTATTTGATTGAATACTGTGACATTTTCATTTTTAGATTTGATCACATTGAGTCACTACTTTTGTAAGTCACAGGTTGTCCCACATTGGCCATTCCGTGTTCAATCCTAGAGAGACGCTGACATGCACCCTGTTATCGGAGTGCGGCTGCGCAAGGGAGCAGGGTTTGGGGGTGTGTTTGCTAAGGACAAACCTGAGTGTGTCCGCTCTCTAACAGCGACCGAAGTGAGACTTTGAGTGTGGGAGGGAGGGCGGGTGCTCGGGCATCATTTGACACCACCAGGTCCATCTGGGTGCTGGCAAGACCAGTGTTTGTGATCTCTCGGAAAAGGGGGTGGGGGTAGTGAAGGGAAAGGGGGGCCAAGTTCATGGGGACAGAAGGAGATTTGACTTTGGGTGGTGGGCACACAATGCAATATACAGATGAAGCTTCATAGACTTGTACCCCCGAAACCCATCTATTTTATTAACCACCCCAGTCCAACATCATGCCAATACATTTAACTAAAATTTTGGTCATTTGGAGATGTTGTCAAACTTACAGAAACTTGCACCAAAATATATACGACTCAGACACAACTGGCTCTTGTTGTGGTTGGCATAATGCACTGAAAATAAAAATCCCATTTGCTTTCCAGGCACGCTTTTCCAGCTTGAATCTCACGGTGAGGGCAGAGCTTCGGAGTGGGAACTCGTCCCTGGTGTTGAGTCCTGGCAATCAGAACAGGCAGGCAAGTACAGCTCCGTGCTCTGAACTCCGTTTCGCTCCAAATTTGGTGGCGTAATGTTTTGTCCTTGCTCCACCCTGAACACAGTGACGAGTGCCGCTCTCAGGAGGTGACAGACACTGTTTGCTTCAAACTGCACTAGATTAGCCTCAAATGTGGTTTCGTTCTTCTTGGAATGAAATTCGGGGCAGCCGTGATATTTACACTTAACAGGCCATGTTTGACTTCATTGCTTCTAACTGGCACAGTAAATTGATGTTTTTACTCTCACCGTGATAACAAATAATGCACTTGTGATTTCCACCTTTAAAGTGACATTTTAAAATGGGGTTGACAGCTAAAGACAGAAAGTGTTTTTTATATGGTATGGGGAGATGTCAGTTTTCTGAAGTTTTTTTCATTTAGCCATTGAAAAATGTGAAACAAAAAGAAGTTTTATTCTCTAATATAAACTCATGCTTGAGTCCCTGGTTAAAAAAAAAAGGCTTGAGACTTTTTCCCTCATGTCTTACTATAAAATAAGGCCAGAGTATTTGAGCTACACGGGTGCTTCCTCATAATTTCCCTCATATCGTGGGTGAGTTCAAATAGCCCATGTGGGTATCACAAGTCATAAAATTCTGCTTGGAAGCTATCTGACATTCAAACGTTGTTTTAAAATGTCTTAACTCAAATTATTATTTATTCTACATCATTGTACTGTCAATGAATACCCACCTTTAAAGTTAAGATGTGTGCGTGTGACAGAGAACATGTGTGTGTTCACCTGTGACACAGAGAACCCATGCGTGTGATCATCTGCAACACAGAACACATGTGTGTTCACATGTAACAGAGGACATACGTGTGTGTTCACCTGTAACACAGATATGGTGAGTGTTTGCCTGCTACACAGAACACACATGTATGTTCACCTGTGATGCAGAGAGCACGTGTGTTCACCCGTGGCATAGAACACATGTGTGTTCACCTGCGACACAGAACACGTGTGTGTGTTCACCTGCTTTATACAAAGCGCTTATCCTGATAAACGCAAACTTGCCCCACACGTAGAGAAGCCACAGTTTCACCGGTAAGCACCAAAACATGCGAGTATATATTATTGATACACGGGAGAAGAGTACATTTGATTTCTAAAGGTGTTTTGTTAAGTCTCTATAATTAGCTTTATTTCCCCCAAATGTTAGTTTAAAATTCCCCATGGCTCAATTTACCTCCATTTTATCCTAAAGAAAAATTGTACTGGAAATGTGAAAATTACTCAGAGTGGTCACTTTGGAATGCTGTGACCCCAGAGACGTCACCAGTCCCGCCCAGCCTCCTGTCCCAGAAGCCCAGGGAGCCCCGGAAAGGTGGGCACCCATCCTGCTCTGTGTTGGGTGCATCAGCGGTGCGCTGCCTGGGCATCCGGGCATCCGGGCCTTCAGCAGGAGTCAGTCCCTGCAGACAGCTCCCCGCTGGCTTCCTCTTTCATGTCCCATCTTCTCTCCAGCTCAGGAACCGAGATGTTTCCTGTTAAAGGCAGATGCCTGAGCTGTTCGTCACTGATGTCTACCCTGAATTCTTTTTCCCTCAGAAACCTAAGGGACGGGCCCCAGAGCAGACAGGTGTCACTGAGGTTTGGGTGCCTCAGTGACAGAGCTCGCGTAGCTGAACACTGACAGTTGTCCCCTTCACAGTCTCACTTCAGTTGGAGCCTAATGTACAGAGTCCGACTACCACCAAGTCAACTGGGAGAGACTAGAGGTATAACAGGAAGCGCACTGCAGTGAACTGCCTGCGAAAATTCGTTCATATGCACACTTGAGATGTGTGCATTTTACTGTATGAACATTACACCTCAACTTGTAAAAACAAATAAAGGCAAAGCATATTAGAATCATAATGAAAATAAAAAGACCTACTCACGGTTTTATGTCCGAAGCCCATGGCGACATGCCAGCCTCAACTCACGCTATTGTGATAACGCGCCAAAGCCCGTGAGCAGATCTTTAGACCAAATTTTGGTTCTCCCTGCATTACACCCCCTTTACCTTTGAGCCTTCCGGTTCAGAGAGAGTTTACTACTGATCTGTGCATTTCTGAAGGATAGGACTGTAATTTTGGCAACCTGACATGGTTAGAGATTTAGAATAAAGGAAGGGGGTCTTCCCATGTAAACGATGTTTTTCCTGTGTGTGGCAATGAGAATAAGTAGACTGGAAGGAAGTCATGGCATGTGAGAACTGGGCGTGGGGGAGTTCTGACTGATGGGGATCCGAGCTGACGGCCCTGTTCAATCATTTCCAGCTTGCTATTCAGATATCCAAAGACGCGCCGCCGGGCAGGGTGCCCCTGTGGGTGATCCTGCTGAGTGCCTTCGCCGGCTTACTGCTGCTGATGCTGCTCATCCTGGCTCTCTGGAAGGTGAGCCCCGTGGGCCTCTGACTCTCTAGCTCAGTTGCCAGCGGCAACTGGTAAAAGAAATGGTGGTTTGCCCGTGCTGTGGGTGCTGTGGACCGCAGCGTCACACAGCGATGAAAAACAGTGAAATCGTGGCTGAGACCAAAGAAGAAAGGAAAATGTCTGTCTCCACCACTGTGCCCTACTTGACCCCATTTTTGTAAAAGAAAAACAAAATAGGTACATCACACATCACGGAAGGACTCCAGGGGCTGTAATTACAGGGGACATTTGTGTTGTGTCTGTAACACTGGAACTTTTAAATTAAGTGTACATTTAAGAAGCAGAGAAGAATGTAAAATCTCTTATGTAGATAAAGAGAACAGATTTCTAAGTCTGATTTAAGAATCTAGAGCAGCAGAGTCAGGGTTAAGGTGAGCCTCACCCCAATCACACATTTGTCTGTTTCTTAAAGGTCAAACACTTTTAACATGTGAACAGATATACCACAGTTCATGCAATGGTTTTGTGCTGGGGTGAGAGATGAGAATGTTATTGATTAGTTGATGAAAGGAAAATCTTATAGGTTCATAGAGTTCTATTTCAAATTCTCTTGTAAAACTGAGTGACATTTGTTTTCTATAGGGCAAAACCCTATATTTACCTAGATGTTGTGCTTAAACTGAGGTAGGTGGATTTTTCTAACTCTATCATTTCTAAATTAAGCAGAATGGAGATGGTAGTCTTTAGGAAAATTTAATAGAGAATAAAACCCATGGAAGAGTTGAGTTTAATGCTTTTCCAGTTCATATGAATTTGGCACTTGTTCTAGCATACATACCCTCACCCTGTGTTTTACCGATTATTTTGTTGAGCAGCTAAACTGTATTAAGAATACAGATTGTGAACCCATATTCAGTTTTCCTTTTCTATCCCAGTATCACTTCGCATCGGTGTGGGGCGTACAGCGTCGTGAGTACATAAGCCTCTACTTTACAAAGCGTCCCCCCAGTATTTCTGGTCCCCCGGCCCCTGCACAGTCGCCACAGGGCTGTTGACCCTGTTTCCTACACGCCACACCCCTGGGACTGCTCCAGAGCTACCAGCCCGCACTTCTTCATCCCTCCACCTCTTTCACCTGGTCCCCCGGCCCCCTCCATGTTCATTTTTCTATTACCTGCGCAACAGAGCTGTCTTTTTATCAAATGGTCCAAGCAGCCCATTTCTCTCTCATCAAATCACCAGTGGTTCTGATCGTTGCTACTCTCTGACAGCGACCCCGTCCCTCTTTGGGCGGGGGCTCTCCGGGGTAAAGATGAACAAAGCCACACTACAGATGTAGGTCAGTTGCGTTTAGGTCAGTAGAGTCCACAGCCTTGACCCAGCGAAGCCCAGGAGAGAGAATCCTCACCACCATCCCAAACTCCAGCTCAGTCCTGCTTCACAGGGATCAGGGCTCTGTCTGTAATACCCGGCTTGGCCACACTGTGGTGCCCGAGGCCCGGCTCAGCGTGGCTGTCAAGGTTACACTTGACCTGCAGAAGGCGCTTCCTGCCTTCACAGGCACCTCTAAGGGAGAAAGCGTGCTTTCGCTTACTCTTGCTTTCGCTCTGCAGGCTCTGCTGCTCAGAGCACTGCACTTGCCCCTGTAGTTTCAGGAGGAGAAGAGGAAGCCAGGGCTGATGTTTGAATAGGTTCTCTCTGACCACATACCTCTGCTTAAAACAGACAAAGGAGTTTCATCCACCTGTTTTTTTTTAATCATCAATCTAAAGAAGCTAAAATGTAAAAATGCAGTCGGGTGCTTCCTAGATCACTTAGGGCCAAGAGACAGTCCCTTAGCAGCCTTTGGACAGTCCCAGTGGGCAGGAACAGTCAGTCCAGCCCCTTCGGGGGAGGTCCAGCTGTCAGAACGGCAACCCCGTGGTACAAGGGAAGGGAATTAGCACTTATGGAGTGCTTACTGTATGCCTGGAGCTGTTTTGAGCTTTTCCAAGGGGAACCAGGGCGAGACTCAGCCGGAACAGGAGCCTTGAGAGGGCAAATCACTGCTCCCTCTGCCCCTGGGCTCTCCCTGGTGCCTGAGGTGGGGGCTGAGGCTCTCCTTACTAATCCTTACCGATCCCTCTTCCTCATTCAGTATCATATCCTTGGGGGCGGCGGGCGTGGACGGGGAATTGTCTTAGTCTTGTTTACATGACTACAAATGTATTCATCCAACATTCAGTACATATCGTTGTCATCAAGCATGTGCTTTCTGCCAGAAAGTTTTTAATGAAAACTTTCCTATAGGGTTTTGAATTCTGGGAGTATAAGTATAGGCATTAAGTAAATATGAAAAGAAAGAGGGGGAAAGTGAAAGCTACAAGGAAGGCTGGGAGCTGAAAACGAACTTGTTTCAAGTTTCGGCTGGTGTTGGCCCCATCCCCTGGGAAGCTATAAACTTGATTCTCCGACCGTCCACCCTCATTACCCAACTCCCACTGCAAACCTAACATGAACAGAATGGGTTGGGTAGGAAGTTTAGATAACAGGGGTTCAGTTTTACAATAGTGCACGGAATGTGAAGGTCAAGGGCACTTGGTGGAAAGAAGCAAAAAGACTTGGGAGAGGAGACGGATCCAGAGCTGGGTGGCAGGAAGGTGAAGTTTCGTAACTAGCACCTGCCTGGGAAAAGCCTTGTCTGACTTCTCTCCACCTGGGACTGCAGGCTCGCGTGAGTCCCGGGGCTTGTGAGTTCGCCGCACCCTCGTTTGGCTCACTGGGCAGGAGACATCTAGGGGACCTGCATTCAAAGCGATACAAATGCATTGTTCTCTCGTGTTCATCCTCTCTGTTCTCACACTTTCCTTGTTTACCAGCAGCCGGATTCTGAGTGAAACTCCCCTAATTTGACACTGCATATTTTTTTACCATTTACCTCCTCTAAGCCCTCCAGTGTTCATTATTTTTAAAAATGTTTCATTCCCTTGCATAATTGACTATGGGTTTATGATTAAAATGATATGAAGATACCTCACTTTCAAAGAATTAACTCATTGTCTTTGCTTGAACTACTATAATTCATTCTCAAATTTTAAAAGATATATGTATACATTAAAAAAATCTCAAGGAACCTTAATTTTTTAAATACCCATTTTAGATTAGGTTATTACAAAGGTCCTCTCCAGCCCCTATACTTGTTTTTATTATTCTGCATAATAAGAAATAAGTAAAACTATTGTCCTTTTTGATACCCCAAAGTATAACAAAAAATACACACATTCACCCCCGTGTGAAACTTGTCCTGTTCTCAGTGACTTCATTTTTACAGCCAGTGATGCTGGGTGTTTTCCACAGGCTCCTCCTGCCAGGCCCCCAGACCCATGTGCTCTGACGTGATTAAAGCCAGGCCAGCGGCTCAGAAGTCCCCCCCCCAACCCTCATTTCAGCTGCAGGCACCCGCCACCTTCCCCAGCAGCTGGAATGACCTCGTGTCTGACCATCAGTTACTCGGTGGCAGTTTCTCTGCCACACCCCTGGGTAAAGATGAGGGCAGAGTGTAGACAGTGCCAGCTAACTGCATGCAGTTTATCTGTGTCCCCCAGTTTTCCCAGAATCCTTTAGGTTTATCACATGCACCAGTTTTACTAGGAGATAGAATATTTAACCAATGAAAAGGTTAAAAATGAAACAGCAACTTGACAAATGTCATCTCTTGACATTCACTATTATTAGGTCAATGAAAACAAAACCTTTTAATTGTGTTAATTATTTGTATGCCCAGAAGTACTAACATATTGTTAAATTAATTTCTATTAAAAGAGATTAGAATGTGTTTCTTAAATTCAAGTAAGTAATTGCCTTATGTTTGGTGTTTTCTCAACAGGTTGGATTCTTCAAAAGACCACTAAAAAAGAAAATGGAGAAATGAAGTACTTCACAAGAGAAAAAATAATTATTCAATGATTTATTCTCAGGTTTGCCTCATACATGTGACAAGAAATTTATAAATATAATTAAAGACATAGTCACATAAATATATATAATCCATCAGGGTTAATCACTTGGAAAATGACAGACCAAGGAAGATCCAAAAACAATACCATTTAACCTTCTATAAAATGATGAAAACTATTTTTAAATATTAACTCATTTTTGGAGTATTTAAGCAAAATTACAGTGTTTTGAAGATACAGAATACTTATACAAATATGTTTATATATTAAGTCACCATTCAAAGTATTTAAGGAGTGCATTAAAAGATTTTTATCATTGAAACATTTACGTTCAGAACAACATGAACTACGCTTTTTCTGTTGATTCCTGATGAATATATGTCCAGCCTGACAGTTAACATTGCAGTGAGACACATTTCCCAGGCGGAGGCTGCCCTTGGACCGAAGTGAAACTAAATGACAGAGAACACATTCAGTACCTTTGTGCTGGAGTCAGCCCTGGGACAGTTTTCTTTCCAGAGTGTTTGGAAAATAGTGTCATTGAGCTGAAATTCTATCTGTGATGGAAAAATCAAGATAGACTTATTTAAAAGCAAGTGCACTGAATGGACTAATTTAAGCTTTTACAAAACGTGCTTAATTTTGATATAGAGCTCCAAAGCTCAAGATTCTTTTATACTGAAAAAAAAGAAACCACTTAGAGCAACTTTGTGTCGTAACAGTGACTGGTCACGGAAAGCCATTGTGCGCGGGGGGCGCGCTGAGACGGATTCCGAACGCCACGCCGCAGCCTGTGCCCGCAGATGCTGCAGTCCTCCCTGCTGGGCAGCTTCTGTGCGCCAGGGGGCCCCGGTGTCCAAAGGAGTAGGCGTTTCCTCGGCTCCTGGGTCCCTGGTTCATTCCAACCCTCAAGCGGTGCGAGTGTGTTTATCTTGGATGTTGGAAGGTGTTTAATTCTGCAAACACACCTCTCATTTTCACGAGAAGGCAGTGGTCCATGGATGCCGTTTACCAGGAAGCCGCCGCTTTCGAGTGTGGCACGTCCGTGTTGACGCGGAACTGCAGAAACGGGTGTTGCAGAATTCCGGGTTCGGGACCTCGCACGAGCACAGAGATGTCGTCAAGCCTTGGTGTGCGATTCTTCCTCTGGAAGAGACTGTTATGGTGCACCCGATTCTGTTGCAGCATCGGCTCTGGGCTTGCTGCGTTTCTTAGGAAAACAACAATGAATGTATAGTAGCCACGCTCGTGAACTACTGCTGTAAAATTTGCTGATGCTTCCTCGGCTACTCCCCTCTCCGTCCGATGGCCATCGCAAGCCCAGAACCTGTAACTACCCAGAAAAGCCGGGGCTCTGCTTTTCTCAAAAAGCAGCAAATCAGTGAAGAAATCAAATGGCCTGGGTTTAATTTTTTAACCAAAGGATTATCTGAGGACCAAGAGCCAGCCTACCTGACGGCCCCCCACGTTGACATCTGAGCTCCTGGTGGTCAAAGCTGCACCCCTGGGGTGGCTGGAAGGAAGAGAAGCCGGTCTCTCCGGGGATTTGGTTTCCTCCTGCTGGTGCGTCATTGTGCAGAATTGTCCACTTTGGAGTCCCCTTCATTCCTACCGTCTGTCGCCGGGTACAGAAATCATCTTTCCACCCAACAAGACTTTCTTTGTTCACCGAAACTCAGGCCTCCTGTCTTCCGTCAGGGTCACCAGGGGTCACGATCCCAGCGCACAGCCGGCTGGGCGGCTCTGCTCCAATCAGAAATAAACTGACGGATGAAATGAGATTCACACGCAGCACCTGCGACTCTCAGTGAAGCAGCCACTGAACCAGGGGTGTGCGCATTTAAACAGGATGTTAACACAAAGGGGAGGAGAGACGACGGTGGCGTGAACTTTGCAGAAAAGAGGAAAGGACTTCTGGGCCGGGTCAGATGGCCGCTTATGAACCGGGCAGAGTTTGCCATACACGCCGTTGCCGGTTTTAAGTAGGACGTTTAATTAACCTGAGACCCCCCCTTCCCTAACGTTATAATTTGTTGAGGTGTATGTGTGTGTCTGTGTGTGCGTGCTTGTGTATACAATGACGCACATGCACACACAGAGACACAAATGTACTGCAAAATACCTCAATAAGAGTTTACAAAAAATAAACATAGAAAAGCCACACCAAAAAGAAAGTTTTGATTCGCCCACTTTGCATATAGTTTTCATTTTTAGTAACATTGCACTTGAGCATAGAGTTCTGCAGCTAAAACACATTGATGCAGAGGCTTGGGTTAAAAAAAATACGGCCACGGATGTCACAGATTATTTTTGTACAGCTGTTTTCAAACAATCAATGACTAAGAAATATAGTAAACTTTAGCAGTTTATTTTAAAATATTTAATAAGAGAAGTAAGTGGAATTTAAATCTATTAATTTATTGGCTAAGTTAAATTACAAAGTACTTTTTTCTAACTTTGGTATTTTAAAAAACTGTTTATCGCTTACCCTGTGCACTGAACTATGTACGAAGCCCTCCTCCCAACCAGACCTCCAATGGCATATTGGCAAATTACTTCACTCTCTCTCCAGAGGGAAAAAATTCCTGATTTGCATAGTTATCCCATTTCCCTGTTCTAAACAGCCTCACCAAGGCCATTTTCAAGCTACTAGCATAGCCCTCACCAGTGTGCAAATTCCCTGAAAATTTGTGTCAGCCCTTGTGAACGAGTATGAACCAGCTTCAGCCCTTGTTGCGATTATGCGACAATGATTAATCGATGCGGAGATGAAACATGCTGCGTACATACACACATGCAAACACACTGTATGGTTATATTCCAAATGATTGCTCGCCATGCTGCTCTCCAGCCCAGAGATACAACGCTGCTTAGTTCCCTATTCTCCAGCTTCAGTTTCTGCAGTCGTGGCCCTGCTCTAACAGTAACAATTTGTACGGACTTGCAGGAGGAGGGCGTGGTGGGAAGCCAGCCCACAAAGGGGGGCAGTGAGAGCAGACCCAGCACCTCCGAGAGGCCATCTGCCCGCTGCAGGCAGCCAGGCCCTGCGAGCAGCGCTGGGGAAGGTCCTTCTCTGTAAATATTTTTTTAACTTCTTTGACTCGGCTCGAACTTCAGTGATGCAGTTGATTCGGTCTGTTCAATGATCTTCTCTGAGCACAAGATGCATGGACAATTCCCTCTCTGACTGTTTTCTGTGTTATAAGTGTTCTCGAAATGAAGCAGCTGAGGAGGGATACAAGGTGTGAGGCTCACTCAACCAACCACAGTGGTTCTGCCTGGAAACGCATGCCCTTCCCTTCTGTCCTAAACCCGGCGTGTGTCCAGGCTCCCGGGAAAACAGACCCTCGTACCAAAGCCAAGGCGGCTGCCCGCTGCTGCTGCTACCCCGACTGTAGCAGAGGCTGTGAGACGCCCTGGCCGCGGTCCCTCTCGGCACACCCCTCCCCCTCCCCCAGGGCCGCAGCCTACGGTGTGAGGGAATGGCTGCTCTCCACGCACGGTGCGTCACGCAGGATCGTCCCAGTCACGCCTTGAGACGTGCTTTGCCTGAATTAACCGCCTGGCTTTGCACAGCCCTGAGAAAACTAGGGAAGGCCCGGCCAGAGCTTGGCTGGTGTGCCTGGGGCAGCCACATTATTGCTCAGATACAGAGGCTTCTGGCAAATCTGCTTCTAACCAATAACACCCCGGGCACCTTTGTTTATTTTGAACACTTCTCAGGCCCCCTTCCATTAGTCTTCGCTCCAAGAGAGACTTCCCAGAAGACGGCTGGAGAACGCCATCGGACACACGCATTCTCTCTGTGGGCCACAGAGGCTGAGTGGCCTCCGTGAGTCCCCAAAGCAGTGACTCGGTGTGAGGTGGTGGGGACACAGCGCAAAGTGCTTCAGAGATGGACCGTCTTGAAGAGGCAAACCATCGTGGGGCGCTAGCAGCAAGTGCGCCATAACGTGGGGGCCGGCAGGGTGTAGCCCTCCCCTGGGTCCCCGTCAGCATCCTCACCCATGGAAATAATCATCTCCCAAATGGAGAAGGTGCTTTCAAGTCCTCTCCACGATGCCGTGTTCACCTAAAACAATGTGACTGTAAACAGGAGACTTTTCAATGCAAACACAGCTTCAGGGTGAGAACACTGGGCAGCCCAGTCAGTCTGCTGTCCCCAAGTGCCTCTGAGCAAAAACTCTGAAACCACGGCGAGGCTCGACCTTAACTCGGTGGCAGGTCACCCAAGGCTGAAGGCTGCCTGTTCTGGAGTCTGGAGAGCAGGAAAAGTGGAGTGGACATCTCACACTGGAGCCTCGGGAACAAGTCAGTGCCTTTGATCCTCACGTGGAACGTTACCCTTGAACTTAGAAATTCCCGGTAACCGCCTTTCACACCAGCCTCCAGGGCGCAGGCGCACCAAGCCCAGCCCGAGGGCCCCCAGCATCTGGACCCAGCGGGCGCCCTTCCTCACTGAGGGGGCTGGAGCCTTCGGCCCGCCCCGGGCTGGGCTCCCGAACCCACTGGTGTCCGCCCAGGTCAGCCCCCGCACCAGACAGGGGCACACACACCCCTTGGTGAGTTTTCACTGTTCCAGAAAATACGCACGGGTGACTTCCCCTTCCAGTGTTGGACACCCTGCTGTGAGGTCAGCTTTGATTTTTCTTCTTTTAAAAAATATGCCCAAACCTTCCACCCGTCCCTGCTGAGCGTGGGACTCACACGAGGCTCCCTCCCAGTTCCCTCCAGAGCAGGCCAGGCACGTGGGCGCGGTGAGCCCCCAGCAGCACCCTCCGCCTTCCCCGGGTGTCCCTCCGGTCTCCTGTCTGCCCGGCCGCGGTGGGAGTTCGGTTCCGATTCCGGATTCCCCGGCCTTGTGCCTCCTGCAGCACCCGATGGCGGCCTGCTCTTTTCAGAGACTTGGAGACCCTGTAAGTCCCTGACACGGTGGAAGTCACACCAATAAACGAGGTGCTGGTCACATGGTCACTGCGATCACGTGTGGTTTTACCGCATTCGAGTCACGTCTTGATGGAAAGGAGACCGAGTGCGGACTCCAGGAGCCTTCCTGCCGCAGACCGAGACCCACACGCACTGCTTCACTTCCGCTGGACCTCGGCATGTGGACGGGACCTTCCCAATCGCGCACAGGTCCAGTTGGCTTCACCTGTCCTCGTGCTGTTTGTGAGCCGTGGAGGGATTGGATGCGGAAGGTGAGTGAGTCGTCGTTTCTTTCCTCCACGAGCAGACAGGAGCCACCACGTACGGAACACAGAGGTGACTTAGAGCCCTGGGTCCAGAACCAGGTGGCAGTGTGGCCGTCAGGCCCCTGAGGCCTGTCGCATCTTGAGAGAAAGAACAAGAGGAGGGGGAGGAGGTGAAGCTGTTGACCTTTCATGCATCCATCCTCACTACTAAAAACGCTGCCCGCCCCCTCGGCCCAGCGGCACTGGGCACTGTCCAGTCCACTTTGCACAGGCGGAGTGCGGCGCAAATGAGGGCGAGGGGACGGTCTTCGCTGCCCGCTCCCCGGAGCTCGCCGCCCGGAGCTGACCCGCTGCGGGCTGATGACGCCAAAGCAGGGATTTGAAGCCGCCACCGTCGGACCCTTCTTCGCACCGGAGCCGAGCCACGCAGGACGCTTTGCACGTGTCTGAGACGGACCTGCCCGCGCTCAGGACGCAACACCTGGTGCGTGGTCCCAGCGG